AGCACGTCTTCCTCAGAGCACGTATTGTAGAAACTAGAGGGCTTCTACCGTTTGCATACCGAATTCAGTGACCGGGGCATTCTCCTCAGCACGGCATTTCTTCTGTAGGCCTCTTGTCGTTATAGTTTTACTACAGTCTACGAACTACCGGATTAGCATGACAGCGTTTTCTCTGCATTACGTTTTTGTGCGAATAAGGTAGTTCTATGGTAGTTCGTTGGTATTCTGGACAGTGCGTAATATTTTGCTTTCGGAAGAATTGCAGTAGTCCTTCTGGCCTTTTAGTAAGCGTATCTTTACAACACTGCGTATGCTTTTCGATACCGTAGAATTAAGTCTGTAAGGAAACAAATAATTCCAGAGTAAGTCTGTATTCTCTGAGACTGCTGGATTTAAATCTGAGCGGTAGTGCTACTGTAGGTATCACAACACAGATTTCCTCGGATATTGGAAAACTCCGCGAGGAAGCTAGGTGATCGGGGTGATACCCGCAGAAAAATATGACCACATGTACCAGTACGGTAAGGGTCTTTGGATAGAATTCGGTGCCAGAAGATCCCGCTGCTGTGGTGGTTCTTCCGTAGCGATGCTATCCGGTTGAACTCCTGGAAGGGATTCTGGAGGGACTACATCGTTCTCAGGAATTGATGTCTCGCAAGGGACTACATAGCCGGACGGTGGTTAGATTTTGATTTCTACGGTCGAATTTGTGGGCTTGGAAAACTAGCCTCAATCGTTAGTGAGAGCTCGATGGTCGCCTGTGAATGGCTGAATACCCGTAAGATTACACATCTGTGAATGAGCAGTGTGTTGGGCTTGGAAACCGACCCTCAATCGGCAGCGAGAGCTCCATTGTCGCCTGTGAATGGAACTACGTAGCCGGACGACGGTTGCAATGCCAGTGATTCTGATTTCTACGGCCGAATTGGTGGGCTTGGAAAAACTAGGCTCAATGGGCAGTGAGAGCTCCATCATCGCTTAGGAATTGTGGGAACGAGTGTGCTTCTGTGAGTAGTCCACTACCCGTTCGGAGGACCGGTGGTGATTACTTGGAATATCCGGTGCGGTAGCGGGCCCAAGTTTGGTTTATTTCTCTCTCTCTCCCTCTCTCTCCCTCTCTCTCTTGTACTTGTAGCCCCTAGACCCGAACATAACACTTCACTTCTCTCCATATCGATCGTTCCAGTGAATCACCTCCACGAGTCCTTCCAACAGGAATGGCTGGATACTAGTGGATACCCGCAAGTAATTCCGAGCAGGTCTTCATCTACATCCTTGAGTAAACGGTTGCAATGCCCGATATTCTAATTTCTACGGTCGAATTGGTGGGCCTGGAAAACCGGGCTCAATCGGCAGCGAGAGCTCCATCGCCGCCTATGAATGGCTGAACACCCGCAAGACTCCACCCTGAGCAACAGTGTGTTGGGCTTGAAAACCAGCCTCAATGGGCAGTGAGAATCCCATCTTTGCCTATGAATGGCTGAATGGATACCCGCAAGACTCCACATCTTTGGGCGAAGAATGTGTTGGACTTGGAACCCAGCCTCAATCGGTAGTGAGAACTCTATAGTCGCTTGTGAATGGCTGAATAAGTACCCGCAAGACTTGATCCCTAGCAGGGCTTCGTCCACCTTTGAAACTAGCCTCGATTAGCAGTGAGAGCTCCATCGCCACCTGTGAATGGCTGAATACTAGTAAGTACCCGCAAGACTCCATCCCGAGCAAGGCTCCGTCCACATCTTTGAGTGAGTGAACAGTGTATTGCCATTAGGCTCAGCGGCCATTGACTCTTAGGGGTTCGAACACAGGTATATTGGAAAGAGCTTTCTCGCTCTCTTATCGTGCTGTCGAGTACCTACCATGTAACCCACCTCGAGAAGCAGCCTTAGATCCGAGTGATACCCAGCACATCGCGCGCAGAGTCGTCCATCGCGCCTGTTTTTCTTTACTTTTTTTCTTTTTTTTTGTGTCTCAATGCTGCTCCCTGCCAGCCTCAGTGCCTCGTTCGGAATTCGCCAATAGATTATGTAGAACGTATTATATCGAGATCTGCACACACATACGCACGCACTCCTCATCTGTGCAGCAGCAGCAACCCTGAGTGAGTTACATATCAGCCCTGACGCCGATTGCGTGCCCTGAAATAACTTAGATGATGACCTGAAAGATGGAGATGGCAATTCGTACCGCACCGCACCTCAATGCACCACACACCACCGCACACCACCGCACTGCTTCGGTAGTGCTCCTAGCCTCGCGGAGATAGGGAGGGAGGGAGGGGGGGGCCGCTCCTTCGGTGCCACTTTGTCTGCAGAATAGCCCTTCCCCTTCCCCCTTTATCACCCCCTTCCCCAGCTCATAGGATACCATACCTGCAGCCTACCTACCGTAGCTGGCGTGCAGCGGCCAGTCTCGTACGGTGAGCGGAGATCCAAGGGAACAGTACTGCCGGTAGATGATTGCATGGCTATTTGGACAGGCTGGGCTGGGTGGCACTGGTATGTCGGTAGGGTGGCTGGCCGCTGTCCGAGTACCCATGAGACGATCTAGTAGAGGAACTCGGTTTGCAATGCCTACGTAGATCTAGAGTACATACCAGATGTGGCCAGCGGCTAACTGGCTCCGCTGCCTTTAGAAGCTTTGATTATGCTGAAAGCGCCGAAGCAGATGCATAGCCAGGTACCCGGAGACATCCTCCCGTTGCTTCCATTCGTTATGCTCGTGGCAGGAAGCCAACAGAACAAGCCTCCGCCTCCGCTCCCCCGTCCCCAGACCCAGCCGCAGCTTTCTGCATGGCCGCATGGCCGCCGCCGCGTCCAGGGGCAGGCTGACGGGTAGGCAAACACCCTCAAACACCCTCAAGCACCCTGACCCTCGTACCCCCCAATCAACAGCCCCCAAAGTCAAAGTAAACATGCCAGGTCCATGCCAGGTCAATGCCAGGTCAATGCCAGGTCAATGCCAGGTCCATATTCAGGTCCATATTCAGGTCGTGCTCAGGTCTGGCTCAGGGCAATATACTCTACCGTTGATCCTCCATCCTCCCGCTCATCGTCCACTATCCTCTAACCTCCAATCTCCAACCTCCATCCTCCTCCGCATCCTCCATCCCCAAGTGTGGTACAAACGTATGTGCGCTGACGGAATGGGGTGCATAAATTTTTAACTACTCTGGAGTAAACTCTAGACTCTAGAGTAGAGTTGCAGTAGGCCAGTGGCTAGATTCTTAAATCTGCGCGCGCATCGCATGCCGGATGAGGTCATACCACTGCGGTGACAGCTTACAGTTGTAACGCGCGATGTGAGTGGACGACGCCGGCGGGGACAAGGAGACAGGCCAGGGAGTCGAGAGTCGAGAGTCGAGAGTCGAGGTGTTCGAGGTGTTCAGCCTTGCGATGGGGTGCGGCCGAGAATTCGTGTGTATGTATTGTACCTGCTCCCCTGGGCGAGACCGTATGCTGCACTGGGTATCATATGTATTGTACAGCAGGCATGGCAAAGCCAGGCGCAAGCCACACTGCCATAGGTACTGCCATAGGTACTCAGCGACAAGCCACACCCCAGGCGGGTTCGAACTTGCGACCCCCGAGTCCCGACTCCCAACACAGTCCGGTCTGCTCCCTTGAACCTTCGCATATTTCGCTTACGTCTGGGTCTCAGTCTCGGTCTAGGTACTCTGTGTGGAGTAGGCATGCGGTAACGGGTCGCGGTGGTACACACGTACTGTAGGGCAGTGTTTATGATTGTCTGATTGTCTGATTGTCTGATTGTCTGATTGTCTGATTGTCTGATTGTCTGATTGTCTGATTGTATGATTGCATGATTGTATGATTGTATGATCGTTTTCCATTGTTTCCCACCGCCAGCGCAGCTGTCAGGTCAATAGAGTAGCCTAGGATGGATGGGTAGATCCGGTAGATAACCATCGTGGTGCAATCACTGATCAGGTCTTCCAACCCCTACGTACTCTACTTATTATCCGCACCATCCCTGTGCTTTAACTTTGCGCACACGCAGCCAAAGTTCGCAGAGCAGCCAAAAGTTCACAGTGTTCGCAATCGCTAGAGCAAAAGTTCGCAAATTGCATGCATGTATGGAAACCCGGCAAAGTTCGCAATCGTACGGAACAATGTTCGCAAAGTTCGCAAAAATGGCACTGCACTGCACTGCACTGCAAGCCTGCAACACAGGGCGGTGTTTGTTCCACAACCCACCACCTAGGAACGCCTACTCTACCTATCGGTACCGGTCCGTTCGGCAGGAAAGCACAGGCTGCACAGTCACAGCCACAACCATACCTTTAACTAAACCCGCAACTACACCACAACCTTAACAGCAACCACAACCACAACAACAGCCAGCGCATCGGCAGTCCAGGCATGTACTTAGTCCCGCAAACCTTCGTTCGTTCGTTCGTTCGATGATCTCCCGTACCGCACTCTAGGCCGCTAAAATCCGGCAAAATATTCGAGCGTCGTAGCCGATACATACCATATCTAGCGTACTGGTACGCCGGGCACTTGGTGATTTATGCATAGCTGCGCCACCGTGCGCACATACATGACCGACGGCACCAGTTACTGTAGTAGTATTGCACCTTTATTTCACTTCCCAATGCCCATATCGCGCACAAGTAAAGCACCCCGTCTAGAATACATGCCCAAGTACTATCATGAAAAGGAAGCATCGTCATAAAACCACACGTGAGAACATATCATATCATAAAGAAACGCTAAAAGTATCACAACATCAAGCCTAAAGGGTATCAACGCGCAAAAAGACCATCGCTAGAAAAATAAATGAGAAAATGAGAAAATGAGAAAATGAAAAAACATGAAAATAAAAGAAAAAACTCCAGCCGAATATACAAACGCCACCTGCACTTAAGAAGAATAAGAAAAAGAAAAGATAAGTAGGAGTACTTTTACACGCAGCTCTTCCGAATAGAGAGAGAGGGCCGCTGCGGAGGCTGATCCCCCCGTAAACAGAGTAGGTGGAGATCAAAACTTCATGCGGAACCGAACTGGTGGAATCGAGCCATAGCCCTGCGAGTAGACTTCTCCCTGCTGCATACTATCGAATGCGTCCGGTTCCTGGTACTGCTGCTGCTGTTTTTGCTGTTGCTGCTGATGTTGTTGTTGTTGGTGGTGTTGGTGTTGATGCTGGTGTTGCTGGTTCTGTTGCTGCTGGCGCTGATGCTGCTGCTGCTGTTGCTGGCGGGATGGGGGATGGCGAGAGCCCATAGCCAACGCCATGGACGTTCTCCGGCTCTGAGTGGGCGAGGAGCCGCTCATGTCCATTTCCAAGGGGAACATGGAAGGTCTGAAGCCTGCTGGGGTCATTGGGCTGTTCATAGTAGGGTTCATCTCCGAGATGACAATTTCGGGGATATCGAGGGCGTGGAGGGGAAAGCCATGCTGTTGCTGTTGCTGGTGTTGTGCCGAGGACGAGGGCGAAAACATGCCGTCGGTATTAAACGGGTTGTTGTCGTGCGCGGTTGTACCCGCCTCGGGAAATCCCACCATGGGCCCGGACTGGAACGGACTGTTGCACTCGCCCACCATGCCCAGCGACTGCTGGCTGATGTCGTGGTGCGGGCTGAACGGGTTTCGGTCGCCGGGCGGCGTCGGGTAGCCCGACTTCTCGGCTGGCTGGGGGATCCGGAGGATGGGCGCGGGACTCCGCTGAGGTATCTGCGGCCAGTGCTGGCTAGGGAGTGTGACGACGGGAGTGGTGACGACGGGAGTCATGCTCCCCGAGTCGTCAGATCCCGGGCTGTCCGTCTCCGGGGCATCATCTGGGTTGGGGCCGTAAGTCGTCAGGACTGCCACACCGATGTCAGCAAGTCCCAGTTCTCGGTACCCCACCCCAACCATCACCGCGTCTCTTCAATCTCGGGCGATGAAACCAACAGCCGGCGGCTGCAATTCCGGAAAATATTCGCCGAGGACTGTTGTTTTATCTTTTTTTTCTTTTTCTCAACGGTGACGTCTTTTTTTTTGAGGTAGAAATGGTAGTTGGTTACTGACATGTGGATGTGGACTGACAATTCCTGTCATACTCCTCAAAGATGCCGATTATCTCGGGTGTGTTCTTGGCCCGGTCGATCTGGCGGTCTCGGTGCTGCTCGTAGCTGTTGTCGTACTCGTCTCGCTCCGATGGCACGCACTTGACCTTGCGCTGCTGGCAGTGGATCGCCTTGGTCTTCTCCCTACCGAAGCCCTGGGAGACAGTCAGGACAGGAACTCCAACGGAGGGGAATAGGGTCGCCGTACCTCGTTGCAGGTGGGACACTTGAACGGTTTGGTGAATCTCCAGATATGCTCCCTATCGCGCGAATATCAGTCTCTGCATCCGCACGCACTATCATACGGGGGGGGCATACTTCAGCTTCCTCGGATTCGGGAACCTCTTATTGGCACACTCGGTATGGGACGACGGATCTCTAACATTATACGGGCAGCGAAAATCCTTCTCGCCACCAGCCTCTCCGCCCGTATAGAACTTCCCCGACTTATTTGACAGCGCCTGATCATCGTCGTCGGACGCGCGCTTCATGGGCACCAGCGCCGACGACGTGCTATCGCCACCGCCACCACGATACACCTGCAGATCCGGCCGGTCGATGAACGACGGCACAAGGGACGGGCTGGACGGGCTTAAGGACGGCGGCCGGAACGAGCGGACGAGGAGGTCCTTTCTCCCGCCGCCATTACCTCCAGTGCTGCCACCCACGGAGCCCATACCGCCGAGCCCCTCGACTCCCTCCATACCCGTCGAGATCATGCCGAGAAACGAGCCGCCCAGCGTCTTAGCCAGGCCCTCTTCGCACCACTTCTTGAGGATGTGCTGGAGCTCGACGGCCAGGTGCTGGCGGGCCATGCGGACCTCGAAGTCGCTGGGCGGCGGGGACGCGGGCAGCTGCTGCAGCACGGCGTCCAGCACTTGCCCAACGATCTCGCAGTGATACCGGCTCTCGCGGAGGTTGTTGATGCGGATGGTCAGGCCCTTTTCGAACACCAGGGTCTCCAGGTTGTTTGGCAGCCAGGGCGGCCGGGTGTCGGAGATGGACATGTGGTCGAACAGTGGGAGACTATCGTGGACGGAAAGGTCAGAGCTGAATAACGAGGAAGCCATGATAGGTTGGTAGTATGAGAACATACCAAAGGGTGAGTCTAAAAGGAAGTAGATGTGGTGGCGAGAGACGGGACGAGTTTTGTGGTGACCCCGGACGGGATGGGCGGTGGGGCGGGTGGGATGCGGGCTGCACTGCGGGCTACCTGCGGGATCCGGGTTGGCTGCGCGGGAGATCCCCAACGGGCAGATGGAAAGGCTGTTTTCTTTCCGGAAGCACACGAAAAAATCGCAAGCCGCAATAAAGTTCTTGAATCAACAACGGAGTGACTTGGGAATACTAGATCTGGCGTCTCTATCCGGGATGGAAGGGATTAGATCGCGGCTTAGGAGGAAGGGGTGGGGTGGGAATGATAAGGCCTGGCAGACTGAAGAAGGTCACCGTCAAGTTTATATGTCTGGCTGGGTGCCAGCACGCACGCACGGGAATGGCGCCGTATGTCACCGCTGTGCAGTGCAGTGGATGCTGCGCAAAAAGCTTAGAGGTTTTCGGCTCTCACCACCATTCCCATGGATGTATGGGGGGAAGAATGAGCGCGGGCAGCCCTTGCCATGTTGCGGGCAGTCTCGCACACTTCACCTCGTTGGTTGCCTTGGGTCGGAGTCGGAGTCGTAGGTAGTCGGAGTCGGCCCCCCTCCCCCCTCCCCTGCCCTGCCTAGTGAGTTCCGCAAGGCTGTTAACCGCTCCCTCACGCTCTTTCGGTAGGTGACAAAGTTTTTGCATGACTGGCATGATTGACTGACTCTTCTTACTCTTCGTTACAGCCACCGTGAGTATGTAGCTGGCTGGCTGGGGTGTGGGGTGGGCACTGGCCGGACAGGGATGATTTCGTTGTGCGCGCGCAACAAAAATGAGGCGCAGGCAGTGTCCGTCACGGGCGACCCGACCACCAAGCGACTTCGAAAACTCACACGCCAACAACGGCCAGCGGCCAGTCAGAGTGCTGCATCCCCGGCCCATCGCCTATACCTCCCAGGCGACTCCGCTTAGTGGGTACCCGCTGTTCTGCCTGCTTGCCCTGCTTGCTTGCTTGTTTGCCTGTGCAGCTGCTGATCACGCTGCGGTGCGCGACTACCGAGCTAGCTAGCTAGAGCACACAGCTAACCCATGAGCCGAGAGAGTCGAACATTGGTCGAGTCATAGCCATCATACCGTACTCTACATAGCGATGGCTATACGGGATGGGTATGGGAACTAACGGCGGAGCATTCGAGTCAGTCAGTCAATTTGTATGTCTGAGGTTGGGTTCCCCGGTGGGGCTGGGGAATGTATGGGGTATGTCTGTATGTAGCTGAACACGAATGAAGATCGATCGATGAGTGAGTTGGCCGGAATTAGGGAGGAAGGAAGGAAGGAAGACTGTCATGGTATGTGCCGTAGTGGAACGCCCATCTTCACTCGAGTCCATCGGTTAGCAAGCACCTACTCTAGATGGGGACTTCATGTGTTTCAACGCGCGGACTTTCAGCCAGATGCTCACATTCCCCACGTATCCTCAGCCCCGTCGCGCACAGCGAGGCCGAGCACACGACTGGGCATTCACGAGTACACGTGCACAGGCTGACAACTGATCCCTACGTGTGACTACCTCCTTCGCGAGAGTTCAATAAGGCTCAGCCGGGGGGGATGGAGGGTACCTTGGATGTGAAAGTACAGGATGTGGAGAACGAAAGAGATAGGTATGAGGTATGTATGTACATGGGGGGAGGGGGAGGGAGGCATGCAAGGCCGTGTGCATGCGTGAATCATCGCCATCACCCGCCCCAAGAGAACGGTCCAACGCCACCGTTACCCCGCGAGAGTCCCTCCTGGCCGTTCACCCCGGCCCGTGTCCCTCGTTCTCCAGTTCGTTCTAGAGACTTGCAGTATGTGATACAATTCAGGTGACGGAAAGCCAAGCTAAGAAAGAAAAAAGAAAAAAGGGGATAAAGAGAAAAGGGATCCATAATGATCCAAAATGATGACAGCCAACGTAGACACAAAAATTATTTACAACGAAAACCTGCAAGATCAGAACCCCCATGGAAGATGATTCGGTACACACTATCCCAATCGCCCTGCTTTGGATGAAAGTTGTTTTGCTGCAGAATAGAAAAAGAAACTAAAAATAAAACATGATCAGCCATGTGACTACGGATCTATGGGAACGCGTGCTTGAATGACAGACTACCGACCGGAGTACAACATCAATAGCTGGCCCCCAAGAGCGCATGGGCTTCATGATCCTGAATAGCCTTCTTCTGCAGTTTTGCCTCCGTAACAGACTCGGTGTCAGAGCCACAGTCAGATGGGGGTTTGCTGGATTCCGACGGAGATGCCCGTGAGGACGTTTCGAACCCAGGCTTGTTCCCCAGAGTCTCTACTTCCGCTCCCACTTCCGTCTCTGTCTCCGTTTCCGCTTCCGTTGGAACTGGAGTTGGAGCGGGAACGGGAACGGGAACAGGGACAGGAACAGGGGAAAGGCCTTGGATCTCGTCGATGGACGGTAAGGGCTCCTGCTGCGGTTGAGTGTTCTGAGGTGTCGGAGCCGCAAAGGACGACGACGGCGCGAGTTTCCACAGGGGCGCCAGCTTCAAGTTGTCGCGGTTCATGTCTATCCGCTCGACACGGTCGGCAAGGTGCTCGGGACTGTTACTATCGCGTGCCGCCGACTTTCCGCCTCCATCATTGTCTTCCATTCCATCCCCCCGATAGCTTGCCTCTCGGTAGCCGTGCATACGGTCGTCATCGTATGATTGATAGCTATGGGGGGTGTATGCGCTTGGCGTCTCCCGGTAGTCGGTTCCAGCGGTTGATGCCGGAGTTGATTCGTCGAACTGTCCGGGAGTGGGGTAGGGTCCCGAAAGCGGGAGAAGAAGTGTCGATCTAGGAGAAGGCCGAGGTGGCGGTGGCTGGTATGATGAACTCGAACCTGGCGTGGGTGGGAATAGGGAATGAGGCGTCGGAAGCGAGGCCGGGGTTGCGGGGTTCATTGACAGCGGTGAGTGCGAGTGGGACGAAATTGAGGGTGCTGACGACGGCTCGATTGTTTGGATGTCAATTTTGTGTACCGACTTGAGGTGTGCATTGACTTCGCGAGATCGTTTGAACCTTTTCGAGCAGAGATGACAACCGAGAACCTTTTCGGTAGAATGCGTCTTGAGGTGGTCCTTCAACTTGGACAAGAAGGGAAACTTCTTTCCGCACGCGGGGCATACGTGATCCTGAGGGCCGCCCCGCGTGCGTTTTCCGGGCTTCTCGTTCTGCATGGAGCTGGTAGATCGCTTTCGCCTCCCTCGCGAGACCGAATCGGCAGGGCTGAAAGGCGCCTGTGAATCACCCAGAGTCACGGTGTTTTCGGAGGCTGTCTCCGTCTCCGATGACGCAAGGTCGTGGTCTAGCAGGTTCCCGGGCGTCCGTGGGGTGTGGTATGGTTGTAGCGGTCGTTGTTGTTGTTGTTGGTGTTGTTGTTGGTGTTGTTGATGTTGCTGTTGTTCGGTGTATCCCGTGGTTATCCCCAGTGTGACCCAGAGTTGATAGCTATTGTCCGACGCCTGAGGGGTGTTGAAAGGTCGGATCTCGGCGGCATCGACTGCTGGCTCATAGGGTGACTGTTCTTGGTGAATCGGTACCAGGCATTCCAGTATCTTTCTTTTGTCGTGGTGCCACTCCGACGCCGTACGGTGGGGCGGGTCGCCGCGCGATCCGGGCAGGCGGAGCCTTCTGTACACCAGTTGGATGGCCGAGTCCAGCTTGGGGTCGTCGAGGAGCGTGTCGAGGGAGGAAGAGGTTAGGAGGGCGGAGTCCACGCCCAGGGTCACGACGACGTGGTATATGAACTCGAATATCTTCATTTGGATGTCGAGCATCCACCAGTCCGGAGGGCTATCGGGGGGTGCGACAATTGCGCGCGGAGACGACGCCATCATAATATGGCGCTGTGACCTGTCATCGCCATATTGCCGTACCATCAGCGTCACCGTACTCTAGACTTCCCACGACGGACGGTAGGCAGAGTCCAGCAGTCTGCGGGGACAGGAGAGGGGGGGCGGAGGGGGAGGGGGGAGGAGGGGGGAGGGGGGATGGGGGGCGCGCATCAGGAGGGGTTTACCGGCTAAGGCTGATCAGCAACAGTATGCGACGAAGTCGGATACGAGAGGGAGATACGATAGGTTGGGTTTATCGATGTTGCGCCGGACATAGAACCACAGAACACATCCTACCCCTGGAAAAAGCCGCAGAAAGCTTGGGGGATGGGGGATGGGGGGTGGGGGATGGGGGGTGGGGAGCGACAGCACAATAGGGGATCAGACACTGGGGGGAGTGCGGGAGCGTGCGCAGTGTTTTTTCTTGAGGGTACTGCGCGTGTTGGAGAGGTGGGAAGTCGTTTAAGAACGAGAGACTCTGCCGGCCTGACTGTGCGCTCGAACATGACGGATTGTTTGAGCGAGCACGGCGACACTGGGGAGTTTTGGGGCCGGATAACGACAGCCAATCAACGATGGCGGCTACAGAGTACAGCACCCCCCCAATAATCATGCGCGTACGTCACAGATCCCTGCGGAGGGCGGGAGAGGGGAGAAGGCGAGAGTGGCAGTTCTCGAGGCAACCGCCGTCCCGGTGGGCAAAGTAGGTACATGGTTCCCTCCGTACCCGCTGTTTGGCTGCGGAAGTACTGGACATGACGCTTTTTTGATGAGGGACCGGACGACGACACATGTGGGCCGGGGGCAGTGGGAGGCGTGAGGAGAGTGAGATGGCGGAGGGGGGACGGGGAGGGAAGGGAAAGTGGACGGGGTCACGTAGTAGCAACTCTGGTGTGTAAGACGCGTACAGTGAGCACGGTGAAAACAACGGGCCGTTGGTGCATAGTGGATGGAGGGTAATGGTTGTGGTGGTTGTGGTGGTGGGTGGTGGTGGAGGAGAAAGATGAGGAAGTGGTGGTGGTGATGATGATGGTGGGTGGTGGGTGGTGGTAGCGGCGGTGGTGGTGGTAGGGTGGTGGGTGGTGGTAGCGGCGGTGGTGGTGGTAGAGTGGTGGTGGTGGTGGTGGTGATGGAGGTGGTGGTGGTGATGCATGGTGGTGGGTGGTGGTGGTGGCGGCGATGTGACATTACTCCGCCGGACCGGCAGCTGATGGCGATTATTGCTCTATTCGCGCATGGCCAGTGCGAGGTGAAAAACGAAATGCGGAGAGGAGGGGAAGTGAGACTGTGAGGCGTGCGTCAAAGCTCTCGTCGTGCTACCACAGTCCACCACCACCACCCCATGCGGGGCTCTTCACGGAGAATGAGGGGCCTACATCCATACATCCATACATCCCCCACCTACATACGTGCTCATGATCTGCAATAGAGTATCCACATACATTCTCCACCATACACGAGTGCACTGCACACACCACCACCCCTTCGGCTTTTAACTTGATGCGGCTCTGCGTGGCCAATCACAAAATGGCCCCCCCGCCCTCCCCGAGGGCCGGACCAACGACACCACTTGTTTCCCCCCGTCTGTTTGAAGCTCGGAGGCTCTGCTCTGCGATTCCGTGCGATCGTGATCCCCTTTCGACCTTGCCGACATGCAGTACCTAACAGCACCAGCTGGCGAGACCTCGACAGTCGACGATGCCACCCCACGCGTAACTATCGACTTACATACGTGGGTATCCACCCCTCCCACCCCGGCTCATCGTGTTCGTACATACCGCCAGTCCTCACTTCCTTTTTCTGCCTCTTCAGAGCCGCATCCAAGCTCACGATCGCGATAAACCGGAATCCGAATCCCTGAAGAACCCTAGCGCCAGTGACTCTGCTCTGCATACCATACAGACCCACCGATATTGCCTCCGCCATAGGCTTGCGAGGAATTCGGCCCCTGTTGCGCCCTGCCACTGGCTCCCAAGCGGAGACAACCTGGCGTGCCACTTGACAAACGCACTGTTGCTTGCCCTCGAGCTGCGGCCAGCGAATCATGCTTACCGCGGAGCCGCAAAGGCCGGGTAGGCGATCAATCTTTTTTCTGGTCGACACCACCATGTACGCACTCGAGCGGTCTCGCTGCCAATCCTGACGCTGATGCGTTGTTCGATGACCGAGCCTGCCCACAGCGGCCAATAATTGCTGCAGCTGTCTCTCGCAACGGTACGGTAACAGTCGGTCCGGTGGCGAATCAAATTTTCGTCTGGTGCGTGCCGTCGACATCGATGGACATCATCCCAGCCCTCGACTCGAAACTCGGGACGTTTGTTCTGTTAGAGTACCGTCTGGGCCTCAAAAGGCTTAAGAGCCGCACGCCTACGTACCTACGGACCTACGCAGAGTACTCCCACTGTCCGGCCTCTGGACCGTGGCTGTGGCTCGGCGTTCGCCGACAGTCCCGGGCCGTAGCTATCTATGCGTTGCATCAACAGAGAACCACCCGCAGCGCTGATGGCCGTTGCCGCGCGAGACCACGGAGCTCCATTGAGCCACGCTCGCCCCCATCCACCATCGTGGTTTCTTCAGTCTTCCCCCGTTTGGACAGCGAGAGAGCCCGCAAAAATTGACGTCAAAGAATTGCAGATATGTCCGCTCGATTGGGGAAGCTCCAATTACTATAGTCCAGCTCAGCGGCGAACTCACGCCCATGGCCGCCACCCCTGTCCGCCCACCAGCGATACAGATGTGATGCTGCATGAGTGGATTCATGGGCCCGGGAGACAGACATCACGTCAATCGATATCGCACGTTGTGTTGAGGTGCGCAATGAACCCACCCAGGGTCGTGTCGTTCGGACGAGGGATTCGAATCACCGTTGGATGCAGATGGTGTATCCTTACGTATGGACTGCCGCACCCGAAGCTCGGTGCCGGGAGGTGGTGCGCTCCAATATCTGTGAGGGCATCATAGCAAATGTGACATCGATGTCCGACTGGAGTACATCGAGAAAGAGCCGCATTGAACTGCAGGGCCAAACATGGATCTGGAGAGCGCGACAAAAAAAAGAAGAAAAAAAGAAAACACCAAAATCCTCTCAAGATGGCCCCACCAGAAAAGCCAACGTATGTAGAACCTACCAGCCACGCCTCGACATCAGCTGAATGATGTACCCCTTCTGGAGGGTGTGGTGGCATACATCCAAGTGTGGCATCCCTCCGATACAAGGGTACCGACCTTGATAGGTCCGCTTCTAGAAGCACATAATGCACCGGCAAGCAAATTCATACACGAAGGGGGTGAAGCGGCTCAAAAGATACGCGAGGCTTTTGGAAGGGCGACCACTTATGTCTTTCTTCAAGATACGCTGTCGATTTAGAGGTCGGAGTGTTGGTTTTTTTTATAAACCGGCGCTCCTGGAGTCCTTTTCGTCCAGAAACACAACCTGAAGCCAGAACTACATTGATACTCCAGTATCCCACTGTTTACTACTGCCCTACACCAGGCAAACTTTCTTGTCTTTGGATTCATTTGGACTGTATGGCGCAAGGATCCGGCCCTCCTCGACCTGCTCATAATCCACCAACCGGTTCGTTCCCATTCCTCACTATCCTGTCCAAGGCGGCGCCAGCCTCCCCCCTTGATGATGAGCCGCAAGACAGACATTGACTTATAGGATTCACATCCAGCCTTTTGGGAGCATCTCTTTCCAGGAGTGTCGTCAGGGGATCAAACTCACCACAGTGATACTACCCTAAGGACTCGCGCAAGAAGCGCGGAACTCCCGGCGAGACCAACCACGTTCCCGGATACCTCAATAATGACGACACACCACGACTATACGAGCATGAACCACCCTCAATCGTTTGCAACGGAGGAGGAAGAGGACGTACACTTCTACCAGACGTATTCCGACGGCGGTGCGTCTGGCGACGACTACGGGTCCGCCTCACCACCACAGCACTCCCCTACGGAAGACATAGATTTTGGTATTCCTGAAAGCTGTCGGAGTGCTATCCTGCCGGCCACTTTTAACTACTCGCAACACGATAATATCGGCGGCCCTCAGTCGAGTCCCCAAGTGCAACCGCCACACCAGCCATCAACCCAGCTGCCTGCAAATAAACGTCTCAAACCCGGCAGGCCCTTCAATCGTGTCTCGAAGGCCGGTAAACACCACCTCGTCACGCCTGCCGGAGCATGCGCTTTGCTTCGATGTTCATTCACGAAGAACGGCCAGCCGTGTACTAGTGAGGCGTCACTGCCATCAACCATGAGGCAAGTCCACCCTGCCTCCCCCCACCTGCCTCAAGACCACCGACTCTCCCGTCGTCTCCTCCCCTCCTTTCCAACGCGCGGTCTGAATCTAACACGATGGCGTGTAATAGGGAGCATTTGATCGAAGAGCACATGGAATTCTCACCGTTCCAATGCTCCACCTGTAAGCGAATCTTCACGCGTCTCGCGTTGGAAACCCGCCATCTCCAGACAAAGAAGGGCGGCGAAAGGACCTGTCCCAACCAGCCACAGGGTGTAGACGACAACTACCAAGCGCGCTGCAAAGTCAGGGATGCGCTCTGGGGGATCCAGACGCAACAGGATGAGGTCAATGTCGCCGTGGCGTTGATCAAACAGTACAATGGTCAGCTCGAGAGCCGAAAGAGACGTGGCCAGCCACGTGGGGATTCGACCTTAACCGGTACGTCGCTGTTCCTTCCCTTCTTCTTCTTCTTCTTCCTTCCGCCGAGTAGTCTACTAACTATCCCCCGCAGCCTACCAGTCCATCCCACCCGGTTCAGGCACCATCCAGCCCACCATCAGGCACTCGCACTCCTACTCGCAACCGTTGAGCCGCCATCACTCGCACAGTCCCAATCGCAATCCGGCCCGAGGCCCCACATTCCCCGACTTCTCTTCCTTCCACCAGCAACCGCAGTCCCACCAGCCGCACCAGCACCAGCCCCACCAGCACCAAGCCACGAACGAATGGCCGCAGCCCCAGCAGCAGCAGCATCGGGACCTCCCCGTTGGACAGGTCTACCCGCACCAGTTCTTGCCTCCGGTTGGTAGCCACAGCGTGTCCCTCTGCTGGTGACGATTGGTTGCTCATTGCGAGATCACTAGAGCTCCGGCGCGGACACGAGCACGAACAATCTTTACAGAAGAGACTTTCACTGAGGTCAACTACGAGGACGAGGATGCGTTGGTTGCCAGATTGTTTTCCCCGAGTCGTGTCATTCGCTGTTCTGGAGTCATTCGCTGTTCTGGAGTATCTGTCTATCAATCACAACAAAACAACAATACAAAACAAAACAAAACAAAAATCAATGTTGGCAGTGGGAGGAGGGTGTAGGGAAGAGGGGAAGAGAGGATCGTGGCAGACGAAGGTCAAGGCTGGATGAGGGACCTGGAGGAAACTCCCCTCGCGGCGACGAAGACACGATCGATCATGAAGAAACAACGACTACGACTACTACTACGAAGCTCACTAGAGAGCTGGAATTTGACATTGGTATTTGACATTTGGAATTTGGGTCTATTTCTGTTTTTGGGGCGTTATTGGCATGTGTACGGGGCCGGATCAGGGTTGGGATTGGGGTTCATTCATTTACTGGGAGGAGCAATTGCACTGTTTTGTTTTGCGCGGGGAGGCTGAGGGGGGGAGGGGGGAGGGGGAGGGGAGGGGGACTCCCATGCGTATTTCTCCTTCTTCGAATTGTCGTTCTTTATGTCTTGCATGTCTTGTCGTTCTTTACGCCTTGTTTTGTCTCAATCTACCTAGCATTTCTACATCAAGCTTTGCTTTCTTACCTACCTTCATACCTGCTTACATGCTTACCTACATCCAACGTATCGACCACAATCATCCCACTGTGACACGAACTATGACTCGTCCGTCCAAAACCTCAAACTCACCGCGATCTCCGTGATTTCCATGATGCCGATTATAGGTGGGATATCAGCACCCCGCCCCACAGCAGCAGCATCAGCAGTAGGGCTAATCATTGGAAGTTGGTGCCTGATGACAGACCTACAGACCAGAGATGGACATGACTCATCACTCGGTTATTGGGCCCACATGGGGTGGGGGGATGCTGGCCAACAGCACGCAGTTATTTCCTTGGTGCGCTCATGTATCGTCGGGAAGTTCCAGGGGCGGAGATCAGGAACCAGAACCTCCTTGAGCCGTACACCTGGCAGCAGCAGCGTAGGTATGCCGTGTAGTATGTATATCGCCGTATGCGTGGAGTGAATCACGAACGTGAAGGAAACACTTGAAGTAGGATGTAGACGTGTATTCTTTTCAGCACCAGCTACATAGGATATACAGAAACACATTATGAAATTCAACCACACGCCCAAAGTAAAAGGCTCCGTAAATCATGATAGAGTAGAGTAGAGAAAAATAAATATGCAGCACACCGAACACCCCGCCACCCAAAAAACCGTCCCAAAAACAGATAAAAGTAACGCCAAAAATCATACAAACTCCCTCTCATGGTTCACACTAACTCATTTCTTCCCTCCCCTCTTCTTCCTGCCCTTCTTGTTGGGCGCCGAAGTGGAGTTGATCGCCACTGGAATCGAGGACTTCCTTGACAGCGTGGGGGTGCGGCTGCCGGCGGCTTCCGCTTCTTCTTCAGCTTCTTCGGCGATCACTGGCATCGCTGGTGGCATCACTGGTGAGCGTGGTGGAGACCGCGGCGGTGAGGTGGCTGCAGCGGTGGTGGCTGCCTCTACGTCAATGGCCAGGGATGACGTCTCTTCGGCGATGGCCGTGGGTGCTTCAACAGTTGGCTCGGGGGTCGAAATGGCTTCCAGCTCGGCTTCGACTTCCTTGGTGACAGCATCGGAGGCGGCCTCGGGAACAGCCTCGACAGCGGCGGCCTCGGGAGCAACGGTCTCAACAGCCTCAACCTCGGGAGTGATAGCCGGGGAAACGTCGGTTTCGACGGCAACCACTTCGGCCTCTGGGGCGGCAGCCTCCGTGGCGACATCCTCAACGACAGCAGCCTCGGGAGCAACGGGCTCAACAGTCTCGGTATCGACAGCGACAGCCTCAATGATGGCCTCTGGAGCGGTAACCTCGATGGCGGTTTCTTCTACGGCTTCGGCGACTATCGTATCCGGCTCGGAAGAAACGGTCTCGACGGCTTCAGCCTCCGGGGCAGTGACTTCAGGAACGGCAACTTCGGCCTCGGAAACGACAGCCTCGGGGTTAGCGGCCTCAACGACTTCGACCTCCGGAGCGATGGCATCGGTGATTACAGCCTCGGTGAAACTGTCGGGAACGACGGCCTCGACAACTTCGGCCTCGGTGACAACTTCGGCCTCGGGAATAGCGGCTACGGCAGCTTTGACTTCCGGTGCGATGTCCTCGGAAACGACAGCCTCGAAGACAGCCTCAACCTTCGGAGTGGCAGTCTCGAGAGCGACGTCTTCAGCGGCGACCACCTCGATAGTGGCCTTCTCGATAGCAGCAACCTCGGGAGTAATGGCCGCGTTAACTTCGACTTCCGGTGCGATGTCCTCGGAGATGACAGCCTTGGTGTTGCTTTCGGGAATAGCAGCCTCGACGACAACTTCAGGCTCTGGGGCAACATCGACGACAGCTTCAGCCTCGGAACCGACGTCTTCGGCGATGACCTCGGGAACGGTGGCGGTCTCGTCGATAGCAGCGGTCTCGTCGATAGCCTTAGCAATCGTATCTTCCAGAATGGCTTCCCCAGCAGCGACCTCGACCGTGGCGACCTCCTCCTCATCTTCCAAGTCCTTCTTTTCCTCGCTGACTTCCTCCACGATCACCTCCTCGTTCTTCTCCACCTCGGCCTCCTCAGAGACAACGACGATAGGGTCCTCTTTTGGCTCTTCCGTGAGTTCCTGCTCCGTTACCTCGACGTTCATTTCCTCGACGTCATCTTGCTCATCTCGCTTCTCCTGGTCCTCGTCCACTAAAATGTCCATGGGCGCGACTGCCACCTCCTCTTTAACCTCATCCTCTTCCTCAACCATCTCAGCCTCCACTTGCACGCCGCCTTGGCTCTCCTCGACGAGATCATCTTCGTCTTGACACACACGATCAGCATTCATCGCAATCGAGAAAGCACACGCGATGAAAGTAAAAATTAATAATCATGACAATCCTCACCTTCTGAGATGTCAACTCCCCCAATAACACTAGGCACGGGCGCCATCCTCTCGTAGACAGCCGACTCGATCGCTGCCTCGATGGCTGCCATCTCTGCTTCGGTAACCATGCCGTCATCGTCTGTCGCCTGTGGGCCCATCGCGTCATTATCAGCCATGGCTCGCGCGAGCTCTTCCCGTGCTTCACGTTCGAGGTCGGTGGCGGCTGCGGATGCTGCAGCTTCGGCGGCGATAATTCGCGCCTTCTCGGCCTCGACTTTAGCTTCTTCGAAAGCAAGGCGTTCCTTCTCGGCTTCGACCTCGGCTTCGGCCTTTTCGAGAGCAAGGCGTTCCTTCTCGGCCTCGGCCTCGGCTCGGGCGGTCTCTTCGGCAGCGATGCGAACCGCCTCGGCTTCTTCGGCGACAATGCGCGCCTTCTCGGCCTCGGCTTCGGCCTCTTCGGCAGCGACACGGGCAGCTTCAGCTTCCTGGGCGGCTGCTGCTTCGGCTTCGACTTTGGCGGCCTCAACACGAGCCTTCTCGGCTTCGGCTTCGGCTTCGGCGATCGCAGCTTCCTCGGCGGCCTTGACCTCAGCATCGGCCTTCTCCTCGGCCGCCTTCTTGGCGATTTCGACAGCCTTTGCCAACCGTTCGTCCTCCGCCTTTGCCTCCGCCGCTTGGCGCTCTCTGGCAAGTTTCTCCTCTTCAAACTTTACCACCTTCTTCTGTTCCGCCTCTTTCGCCTCGGCAGCTGCAGCCTCTTTCTCTGCGCTCTCCACCTTCAGCTCGTTGAGGACGCCTTGCAACTCTCCCAGCTCATACTTGCGATGCAGAACGGGCAGGCAGTCGGAGTACAAAACCACACCCTTACTAAAGACGCGGCCATCGTCGAGGACGGCGGTTGGGCGGTGCAGCGACGGCAATGTCCCCTCGCGATGGAAGACCGGAATCAACGGGATCACAACCTCCTTGGTACCGGTGCGGGTCTGCAGGTTGGTGAGTGCCGAGTCGGCCGAGTACGGTAGCTTGGTGGCGTATTCATGGGCGGTCCACCAGTCGGCGTCGGTGTCGTCGACACTCATACTGGCCGTGATGATCTCACGCTCCATCCGGGCGTAGCGCCAGGTCTCGACGGCGTACTTGACGATACGGGTGATTCCGGATGTGACGACGTCCATCTTGCTCGGATCCGCAAAGGGCTTGACGTATGAAGCGATCTCTTCGATCACAGCTGCTGCCGCGACTTGCTGGTTCTTCTTCGCGTTGTAGGTGGTGTACCCGGCGAGGAGTGTGTAGTGCCGCCATACGGCTTCCTTGCGTGTGCTCTTCTCCCGTAGCTGGTTGGACATAGCTTGGAACAATGTATCGGCTTTGTCGTAGCGCTTGCCCAAGGAGAAGAGGAAGGGCTGGAAGATGCGGTAGCATAGATATTTGCTGATGGTGTGTTGCACGTATGCTTGCCGCAGGATCGCCGAGGCGTCACTGTTGTTCAGCATCGAGGGAAGGCCAACAGGGAGTTCCGCAAGCACCCGCTGTGTCGGATGTTAGCACCGTCCGGGCAAATTTTATATGGAGGGGCAAACATTTGAAGGTGCAATGGGAAGGCAAGTAAATTCATACGAGATATCAATGATATCTCGTGTGAGCTTTTTGAAGGCATCAATGCTATTCTGCTGTTAGTCGTTCCGCTTGTAGCACTGGGAATCGGGAAACCACTTACTAGTACCCGTCACCTCGGCTCCTGATCTCACCACCCTCTTCTTCTTCGGCAATCTTCTTCAGCGTCTCGATCAGTTTCCGATTGTCCTTCTGCATGGAGTCGAGAGTGTTCTGTAGGTTCTGGATGATCCCATCGAGCCTGGTCCGCTCAGCGGAGAACTCGTTGTTCTTAGTGACGAGATTTTCTTTCTCGGCTTCGAGGCTGGCCTTGATGGTCTCGAGGCTAGAGACCCGCTCTTCGAGCTGATCCCGGAGTGACTCGAGGGCTGCTTTCTCGATTTCGAGCGTCTTCTTGCCGCTTTCGAGGTTCTCCTTGTCGTCCTCGAGGCTCTTCTTCATCTCGGTGAACTCTGTGGCCATCCGGAGTTTTTCCGCTTCCCACTCGGATATCATCCGCTCCTTCTCTTCTGCCCAAGCAGCTTTCGCGAAATCAAAGGTGCCGAGGAGCTCGTCCTTCTCTTCCTGGAAAACCTTCTCGATCTCTTTCTTCTCGATGGCGAAGCTCTCCTCCATAGCCTTCTTCTCCTCGACGAACTTCTGCTCCATACTCTCTTTCTCGTGGATGAATGCGTTCTTCATCTCCTCCTTCTCAATCTCGAATGCAGCTTGCATTTCGTTCTTCTCGCTTTCACGTTGTTCCTCGAGGGTGGTGCGCTCGGTGGAGAACGCCTCCTTCATGGAAATCGTCTCTATGGCATGAGAGTCCTCGAGGCCTTTCTTCACAGCCGCAAGCTCATCAGAAAATGCGTTCATTTTCGCGTCGAATTCATCCAGGAGGGTCTTCTTCTCGGCGGCGAATGCAGCCTCGATCTCGAGTTTCTCGGCCTGGAGCTGTTCCTGCAGGGCATCTTTCTCCTCTCCGAACTGGAGGTTGAGTTCCGTGACGATCTTGCCGTGGGTTGCTTCGAGCTCCTCCAGTTTTGTCTTGTGGGCTCCTTCGATGGAAGAAAGTTCCTGGTCGTGGGCGGTGACGAGTTCGGTCTTTTGAAGTTCGTGGCTTGCCTCCTGCTCTTGCAGCAGAACGAGATGGGCAACTTCCTTCTCTTCGATGGCTTTTGCGTGGGTGATGTCCTTCGCTTCGACCAGGGAGAAATGACTCTCTGCAGTCTCTTTCAGGGCCACTTCATGAAGCCCATCCCGGTCCGTGAGGCATCGTTCATGTTTCTCCTGCATCTCCCTGACCGTGACTTCATGGGCCTCCGCCGCCTCTTTCTTCCACTCCTCGAAACCCTCGTTAAGTCGTTGCCTCTCGACCTCAACTCGTTCCTCGAGATCCAGCCGCTCCTTCTCCATGACATCTGCAGCTTCCTTCAACAGTTTAATCTCCCGCTCCATATCGAAAATCCGGTTGCGGAGCGTGTTGATCTCAGCGGTATGGACGCCGGACAGGTGCTCCATACTCTTCTTGAGCTGTTCTAGCTGCTTCTCCTTTCCGAGAAGCTCCTTGAGCTGAATATCCTGCTCCTCGATGATGCGTCCGTAGTGATCCAGCTCCGCCGTGACGGCCCGGTGACGATCACACAGCTGGTGTAGGGAGGGTATCGACAGAGAAAGCGACGAAAGTGCGCCACCAGCACGCGCAATGATAGCAGCAAGGTTCTCATGCGGATCGCCGCCAAAACCGCCCATGCCCATGGGAGGCGACAACGGACCGGCACCGAACTCTGGGCCGGCGTCGTCCATCATCCCATATCCCCCATTACCGTACTGCGCATGTCCGCGGTGATCGATTCGCTCCAAATCCATTTCGCCGCCCAAATCGGATGGAGACCGGCCGCCGCCGAAGCCGCTCATCCGTCGGCCGTATCCTGAGCTGCCGCCGCCATAGCCGGGACGTGTAGGCGCAAAGTTGGATACGGGGGGAGAACTGTTGCTGTGTATCCGTTGGTGGTATAGCGGTCTCCGCGTGTATTGTGGCTGTTGGCCTTGGCCTGGATGTGGCGCCTGTTGTGGATGTGGCGAGTATTGTTGGGGTGCTGGGTAGTGGCCATTGAATTCTGGGGCCACTCGTTCGACTCTATGGACACCTCTCGATGAGCCGTACGAAGGTGCAGGGGCGTACTCTCTCGGCGAGCCATTTGAGTACGGAGGGGTTGGAGGGAAATATGCCGTATGGTGCCGCACTGCCCCACTGCCGGAGGAGGAGCCTGGGGGGGATTTCGACGAAGACCTGGAGTTGCCGGAGTCTTCTCTGGGCTCGTCCGAGAACTCCTCTTCTTCCGTTGGCCGTGAGACCAATGCGCTCGAACTCGACATTGGAGAATGTGATCCAAGTGGAGCAGCCATATTGCTATTGCTCATGCCACTGGATTCTCTGGGCGAAGAGCGCCGGTGAACACGGACTTCGGGACTCGCCGAAGCTGTTCTCGTTGGAGGAGTGGGAGCTCTAGGCGGTGCAGCTTGAGAGTCAGCTTCTCTTGATGCGCGGGTCACAGATCTACCGATCATGTGGAACTCGTAATTGCAGTCTTAAGAAAAATGAATCAATAAAACGAAAACGGAAAAACAAGCACGCTGGAATCTTCGGGGGAGTACACACAATAGAGATGTGCGTACTCGGGCCCCTTCAATTCGCTTGCACGACTGTCAGTCTACCATCACGAACTGAACGCGAGTGATGCGAGATGGGGCATTGTGTCGTGTGCGTGCTTAACCAGGACGGGCTGGGGAAATCCGTGTGAGACAAAGTAGGGCGGTAAACTAACCTCTTCTCGATTATAGGATCGCACCACGGGGACTAGCAGATACAACGGGCTTCAGTGGAAGCTATTGGAAATGATTGGGTATATCGTTCGCCCACTATAAAAACAATATTAGAGGGTTTACGAGCGAACGAGTCGTTTCCGCGGCTGTAGAATAGACTTCGAATCGGGAGAAGACAATAACAACATGCAGCAAGCTGTGCAGTATGGATATGAGATGCGGGGTGGGGGGAGACAACGACCGATCGATCGGAGGGACGTGTTGTGGTGGGAATGGATGGGCCTTTAAGCAAAGGGCTTTCGATTATGCAAGCACGGTATGGTTTGGCCCATGAGAATCAGATGAAGCCGCGAGACGCGTTTCAAAGTGGCAACAAGGGTATACAGTGGGTAGGGTGAGGAAGGACGCCGGGTGGACGCCGTGAGGACGCCGGCCGGACCAGAAGTGTAGGGATGGAAGAGAGCTCTGCAGAGTGCATGCCACTACCGCCGCCACCACCACCACCCCCCTCCTCCACGTCCACCGCTGACAATGATTGTTTAACGGAAGGCCGGAACCAGAACTAAACTCACCACCAATGCAGGATCAATCAAACAAGCTGCGGCGTTTCGGACCAACCCTTGATAGCCGCGAGAATAGGATGTCGTCCAGTAATCTATGGCTATTGCTTGCAGGCCCAATCGATATTTGTATCGGGGAGAGCAGATGGCGAGCGGTGGGAGGACAGAACGGGTTCGGTGGGTGGGTGGAGGGGGGTGTCCGGGGAAGTCGAGCGTGGGTGAGAATGTAGATCGGAAAGAAGAAGAAGAAGGAAAAAAAAGAAAGACGAGGCCGTCCTACAGTGTTGTATAAAAACGATGGCAGCAATAGCTAATAACCTAGGGGCTGGGGTCATTTCGCACGAACAACGGACGTGATGCAGAAGCAAGGCTGCGGTAACCCATGATGGCTCACGGTTGACGTCGGTCCATCTTACACGCTGAGGTCTTCCAACGGCTTCCACGGGGCCCTGGTGCCTGGTGCCATAAAGGCAGGGCGAACCTCTCTTACACACACATCACGGCAGCAGGCTCCCGTAATCGTGAAGTACGTACAACCATCTCAAGTACATAACAGGAGGGAGCAACGTGTCCGCCAACCAGACCCCGCCTGGCAAGTCCAGCAAGTGCAGTCGGAAGCAAAAGTAGAGTAGAGTAGAGTAGGGTAGAGTAGGGTAGAGTAGGTCCGTGGCTCAATCTGGCGGCGGCGCGGTGAAGACGCAAAGATTGTGCAAGAGGGCAAAAGTCTGCTGTGTTGTCACGGTTAGCTCTATGCATTATAACTGCAATGCGGCCTTGGCTGCATACACGCACCACAAACGCTCACTAGACGGATAAATAGCCATCGACAGCCACTTCCGCACTTCGGAGTCATTGCCCATGAGCAAGGTGGTACTACCATCAATGCCGAGATATACTCCGGAGTGGAAGAGTTCAGGAGCCCGCGATCGTGGTGGTGGGTGGTGGGTGGTGGTGGTGGCCATCCTGGACAATGGTGGCAGTAGTTGGTAGTAATGGTGGTACAACGGAGATCATCACGCCTTCCCCTAGTTGGCCTTTCTTAGCTGTTGTTCGGTGATCATGTTTTCTCCGGTATGACGGCCGCGTTGTTGTACAAACCGGTGGCTAAGTTTGTGCGGTCGGTACGTAGTGTCAGTAGAGCACACACTTTGTACATGATGTACTACCGTAGTATGTAGAGTACCGTAGGAGAGTGGCTGGTGCGGTCGAAGGAACATGGGCCTCTGCCGCCCCCGCCCCATCAGCGGAAGAAAACCGGGAGCCGTTGATCTGTCCAGGGACACCCATGGCGAAGGGAAGGCCAGGTAGTTGCCTCTTGTTCCACTCTACCAATTGCATGGCGGCGGCATCATTCGGTCTTGCCATGGTAAAGGAGCTGAGCAGTTACATAGTAGATGCCCAACTGCCCCACGAGCGAGAAGAAACGGACACATACCGTACCCACCTAGTACCAACCTTGCGGACGAAAGCCGCCTGAACCGTGCCGCATCATGTGCTGTTTTCCTTCCGCCCTTGCCCGTTGGCTGCATGAGGGAGCCCGACTATCGATTAGGGGTACAACGAGCACAGCGTGATGGGAACCTGCCCGCCCCATAACCAAGCAGCACAACTAAGCAGCACAACCCTTGCCCTCCTCACCTCACCTCACCTCACTTCGATCCACCCGCCGCCCCCCGTAACCAGCAACCGCCCGCCGAAAACACAGAGAGAAAAACCAGAGAGAAAGAGAAAAGCAAACAAAACCAATCCTTCACCCGGCCAGTCTGCCCTGCTGCACCTCATGCTATGCGAGGGAAGGTTTTCCCCATGATACTCATTCATCGGCAATGCCCGTCCGGGGGCGGCGCCAGCCCAGGCCCACCCCGCACCTTAGATACCCTATATCTCCACTCTACATCTTCACTCTACATACTTCACTCTACATACTTCACTCTACTCTACTCCACTTTGAAAATTTTCGTTATCAAGATGCAAAAGTGGTTCGCCAATCACTATACTCTCGTTTCCTCTCGGGTGCTTTCCAATTGGCCGCTGCAGGGCGCCGTTTATACACTCCGCGTGCTGACTTCTGTTCGCGCCGTACTTTACTTATGCATGCGGGACGTCGGGCACTCTACTCGTTATCGGTATCAAAATCAATATCGCGGGGTTACTCAGCCGTAGTGCTCCTGCATCTGCTTCTGCACACCCTCCCTACCTCCTCCCGCGCGCTGAGAGGGTGGGGAGTATCTCCGTACTTCTTACCCACATACGTGCGCGGTCGAAAAGTCAAAAAGTCAAATCGGCGGTGATGACGTCCGTTCGTCTCTCTTGCCCGCGTCGACGTCGACGTCTTGCCTCTGGATCTACCTACCCCGCCCCGCTGTCAACGGAATCGTATTACATATCATACCCACCTCCCCGCCCCCGCCTTGAGCTCTCCACCCCACCCCGCGTGGTCGAGTGCAGATTGACACATGCTAGGCAGTGCGGACTGGGGAGTCGGGACTGCACGTATGGTTGGCGTGGCGGGGGCGGGGCGGCTCGATCGCCGAATGCGTCGAGACTTCGCCTCCGCCTTCTTCTTCGTCTTCTTCCCGCCTCCTTCTCTTCCTGCTCCTCCGCGTATAGGGAGGGTTCACATCGCGGTCGAGGGATTGGCGTCAGTGACCTCTACCCAGAGCCTCGCTCAATCCCATCTCCAGAAGCCCCAAAACCGACCATGATAATTTCGACTGCTCAGGACCACGACGGGATCAAAACCGCCGCAGACGTCTGCAAAGGAATCGGTACCTTTCTCCTGTAAATTACAAGTGCAGACGCGTGTTGCACGTGGCCTCCGTGCACTGTAACTACACTACACTACTCGTACCGCACCTACATGGCAGAGCGTCGCAGGATGTCGGATGTCGATACGGATATCGATGGCAGGTTCATCTACCTGTGTACGCACATCACCGTCCAGTACGGTGTGTACAATACATACTAAATTCCTGACAACCAGCCCCCATGCCTCCGGCCGGACACAGTCGAAGAAAAAACCGGATGTGTATGTAAAAGAGTCATTATGCAGCGATCCCATCTCTCCAGTCGGCTCCAGTCGGCCAAGCACAGCAGCAGAAAGCAGAAAGCAGGAAGCGGAAATGCGTGAATTTGTGGATTGGACAGAGCTTAAAGTCTGTACATAAGACGTAAAGTTTGTAAGAGCCCATAATGTTGAATGCACAGCTCCTCATCCTTTGCCTTTGCCTTTGCTATTGCCAGCGAGCGAGCGGTCAGTAAAAAAAATCCCCAGGAAAAAGATCCCCCAGAAAAAGAAAAGAAACTCAAAAAGAAAACCGAAAGCAAAAGCGAAGTGAAGCGATCCCAACAATCAACAATTGCAGACCCGACTGCAGGTATGTAGAAGTATGCGGCATGTAGGTAGCCGATTGTGCAATCGTGCAATCGGTCGTCGTTATCGCTGAGTGGGCTGCTGCTTCTGCTCGTGGGAAAAAATTCCAGAGGGGTGAGGGGCATTAATTACGAACACGACTGGGTTATCGATATCGATACGAAGTACACTGCAAAAGCGAGAAGAGAAGAGCACATCGAATGTCCTGCTATCGTATAGGTAGGGTGCTTTAGGTGAGCAGATGGAAACGTGAGGCGAGCGAGAGGGAGAGAAACGTTTGAACATCTCCCACATCGCCACCTCACATCGCCCACATCACCGACATCACCGCATCGATAGCGATGCTATGGCACATATGGTATCTAGAAAACGTTGAAACAAAAGGTTTCTCGTGGAATCAGGCCCACGACTGCATGTTGAGGCCGATGATACAGGGGAAACAAGTTTTTGTTTTGGCCGTTCTGTCTGTCGGTCTTTTTTGTTTTTTGTTTTCTGTTTTGTTGTTTGTTTTGCGAGTGATTCATAGTGAATAAACAAGATATAGCGTGCATGTGGGACACCCGTCTACTTCACCGAGAGGAAAGATGGCATGTGGCAGACATGATACATCGTCTCGGCTCAGCGGTTCTTCTTCTACTATGGGTGCTGAGAGTCCATGTTCCTTCGAGACACCTAGACAGGTGGATGGGAGAGCTTCGGCTGACTACTACCGTCACTTCTGCAGAAGCGTCTCAACCTCCGCCAACCCAGTCCCGTCGCTCCACCGTATTTCGGGGAGCTACGGTATGTAGGATGTACTCGCCGAGAAAAATTCTCTTGAACGCCGAAATCGCACCCGCACATTCCCTACAGCTTTGCCCTCAACTGCCCCCAGATCTGCTTCAACCTCTCAACCGCCCTCCCATCCTCTTCCTCCTTCCCCTTCCCCTCATCAACCTCTATTTCTTTCTTTGCATCTCTCAACACGTCAAGTAGATCGCCCCACACACTGTCGGTATAATTACTCCACTCCGGCCGCGTAACAAGGAATTCGACAGGATCTTGACACTCCACGAATGCCGCCACGACTGGGTGTCTGATGTCCACTGTCTCGAGGAGGTCGTCGGTGTAGATCTCGGAGGTGGACAACGGGAAGGAGAGGAGCGCCACCACATCCGCTCCGTCGTCCGGTTGGGGATGGTATTGTGGTTGCGGATGTGCCGCCGACCTCGACCCCGAAGTGTGGAACGCACCACCACCCTCGCTGCCGCCGCCGCCCGCGGCGAAATACCTATAGTCCTCCTCCGCTGCCGCAAACGCCATGTGCGCATCCGATCCCGAGCCGCGGAGATCGCCGTAGCCCTGTCCGTTATAGCTCCGGTCGTCGATCCGCCCAGGACCGGGACCGGCAACTGTCTCGGACCACGACGAACTTGAACCCGCGACTGCGCGGGACGACGAGCCACCGTGCGATTTCGACGACGATGCCGAGTCGAGTGCGGAGGCGACGGATGATGGTGGTGCCCGCGTTATGGAGCTCAGTAGCCCGGCGGCTGAGCTTGTGACGGCGGAGAGTATGCTCTTTTCTTCGTCGTCGAGCTGTGGTTGCGGTTGCTTGGACTTGGACTTGGAATTTGACGCGTCCGACATGGTGCGTGTGTCCGTGTGTCTGTGTGTCTGTGTGTCTGTGGGTGTGCGCGTGGTGTCAGGTTGAGGTAGTGCTGGTGAGCATGAGCATAGCTGTGTGGTTTGAATATGTATGAGTGCTGTGTTGGGTTCTTCGGGAGAGAGGAATGGCCGAGCGTTGCCGCCTCGCCTCGCCTGACTGGGTTGGACACGTGCTTCCCGGCCCAGCTTCAAACGCAATTCGGAAGCAACAGAAACAGCTGTGACGGTAAGCGTGCACCATCCGTTTCCTCCTCCTTGCTCCTCGCGCTAGGCGCGTAAAAGGACCTACGATTTTGCCGCCTGCGCGCGTGGGTGTTTGAGTTGGAGACAAAAATATCATACGTCATGACGAGAATAGTCCGTCCTGATCATTCTAGCGGACACATATCCCGATTAACTAACGAACTCAGCGGGAGCCTCTGCTCTACCACAACTGCCGGTCAGATCGAAGTGTAATGACGATAGGGTAGTGTCTCCGTGGATGGGTGGACCGCATGACGGCCACGGTCAAGTGGTCAACACTCCCTCTAACCAGCATCAAACACAACAGCCGAAGCCATTGGTTGCTCCACCGCCATTCCCCAACAGACCATAGGTATCTTGCAAGCTCCGTTGTTTCGATGAGTTTAGCGTGATGTCCCAGAGTCGCTTCGAGTGGGACTTCAAAGCTTGTGGTTATAGATCTCTCTCCCCAGCGGCAGCGGCTGAAGGGGTACATCTCGTATGTACCTGGGCCGTTACGTTATTACCGGTGTATTGCGTGCAGTAAAGATGTATTGAGCACACTAGAGCAAAGTGCATCGTGGTGAAGTATCTCTGCAGTGTAAATCCTCAGCCTCCTCTCGCTCTCGATATCCATTTATCGCGGTCTTCGGTATTGGAGAGAACGAACGAGCCTCCCATAGAAAGGTGTTTACCTAGAGCAACGCACCTAACCACGAGGTTTCGTGCTGTTGTGGTGTTGTGCTTCGATCGCGCGCTCACCCCGTCCAGCTAGCTCTTCTGAACTACCCACTTCTTTGTGCCACCCCCTCCCACCGCCCCAAACACCCTTCCACTGCTGCTACCACCGCCAACCACATCACCATCCACGCAACACATCCCGCATTGCTTCTCCATCAAACAACATCAACCTCAAAGCTATCATCCCACACACCGCAAATACTTCCCTAATACCTCCTACCCTCCGACCCGACATTTTTGTTTCAAGCAATCTTGCACCCTGTCTGTCTGCCCGCCCGCCCTATCCATCCACCCGCCCCGCACACCCCGCACATCTACCACCACCCCCCCTCCAACACACCACCCCCCTCCCCAACAGCGACCGCTCGATATCGTTGCATCTAGACAACTGTCGATTCCCTATCACCCCACCCACTTTCAACAGCGCAGGCCAGCACTGCCAACCAAAACCTCCCTCGCCCGTGAAACTCCGTCGTTCCTCCTCGCTGCGTTCCTGCTGGTTGCTATCATCATCACCGCAACGCTCACATCCACTTCCGAATCCGCATCCATCTCCAGCGCTACTCCAAATTTCCAGCAGCAACCATGGTCGACGGCGAAACTGCGTCGCCCACCTGGAAATTCACACAGTACGTTGCCATCTCCCCTCCTTCTTCCTTCCTCCCTCATGGAGGCTCTTTGAGTCTCGATCTCCCCGCATGTATGGATGCTATTTTGGGTTTGGTGGCTGCCGGGATTGGAGAGGAGCGGACCCCCCCCCCCCCCCACTTGGCAACCCACTTCCACCGCCTCCGTCATCCCCGACGAGACCGCTCGTCGCTGCTTCTTTTGCATTGAATAATCAGCTGAGCTTGATTGAACTACAGGTGCTTCGGTGATAAGGGTGATGTAGAAGACATCACAGAAGGTACGTGATGAACGATGGAAGGAGAAAGAGACTCGGGAAATCTGTGGGAAGCAGCATCCTGCTTCAATAGTGGTAAACTGACGGACCATGTCTCACAGCTGACATCATATCGACGGTCGAGTTTGACCACACCGGAAATTACCTGGCGACGGGAGATAAGGGTGGACGTGTTGTTTTGTTCGAGCGCAATGAAACAGTAAGTGGACACCAGTCATACCTCACGACCCGGCGGTGCATTGGGTTAGATATCAAAATTCGATATCCGGAGAGAGCGGACAGGCGGCTGACCGACGACCTATCTACAAAATCCATAGAAGAAAACCTGCGAGTACAAATTCCACACCGAGTTCCAATCGCACGAGCCAGAATTCGATTACCTGAAGTCATTGGAGATCGAGGAGAAGATCAACAAGATCAAATGGTGCAAGCGACAAAACGCCTCGCATTTCCTTCTCTCCACGAACGACAAGACGATCAAGCTATGGAAAGTGTTTGAGAAGTCGCTCAAGGTTGTGGCCGAGAACAACCTATCGCACGATGGAGCTACACCGGGCATGGGAGGACTACGGCATCCACAGCAGCCACCTCCGCAGTTCACCAGTCCATCCTCGCTCAGACTGCCCCGTCTTACCCACCACGATACAGTTGTTGCTGCGGTTCCTAGGAGGACCTATGCCAATGCTCATGCATACCATATCAACAGCATATCTGTGAACTCGGACGGAGAGACCTTTATTTCTAGCGACGACCTCAGAATCAACTTGTGGAACCTGAACATTCAGGACCAGAGCTTCAACATTGTCGACATCAAGCCAGCCAACATGGAGGAGCTTACGGAAGTCATCACGGCCGCCGAGTTCCATCCCCAGAGCTGCAATTGGTTCATGTATGCCAGTAGCAAGGGCACAATCAAGCTTGCAGACATGAGAGAGAGCGCCTTGTGTGATCAGCACGCCAAGCGTATGTATAGATGATCTGATTGTCGCGCACCTATAAGACCGTAGACTGACAAAATGAAATGAATAGTGTTCGAGCAGGAGGAAGACCCATCCTCAAGGTCATTCTTCTCCGAGATTATCTCGTCTATCTCGGACGTGCGGTTCTCCTACGACGGTCGCTACATCCTGTCGCGCGATTACCTTACAGTCAAAATCTGGGATATCAACATGGAGAACAAGCCTATCAAGACGATCCCCGTGCACGAGCACCTCCGGCCACGCCTCTGTGACACATACGAGAATGACTCGATCTTCGACAAGTTCGAGGTTGTGTTCTCTGGTGATGGACAGAACGTTATGACTGGGTCCTACAACAACAACTTTATGATCTACCCCTCGGAACCCGACAAGGAGATCGAAGTCGTTTTGCAGGCGGACAAGAGCGCTTTCAAGGCCAAAAAGGTAGGTGTGCCAACGCCCATCAACGGCAGGAAGCAGCAGGGCAGTAGGGCTGGATCGCCCGCGGCTGGAGGACCTGGTGCGCGCATGCGGAAGGAGACGGACGCGGACCAGATTGATTTCAATAAGAAAATATTGCATATGAGCTGGCATCCCTTCGAAGATTCTATTGCCATTGCAGCGACGAATAATGTGAGTCCCTTCCCCTTAAGCTATTGTCTCGATTAGTGCTAATTTTCCGGTATAGCTGTTTGTGTTTTCTGCATTGTAGATTGAAAGTCTCGGAACAGCATTTCAATGTGGCATGGGGTTTCTGTCTTCTGTCTTTCTCTCTCTCTTTCTCTCTCGTCTCGCGCGTTACAGACCATTTTTCTAGTAGTATTCCAGGACAGTTGCGGGGTGGGGATACGTTGTATTCGCTTTTTGCTTCCAGGGTTTGCGTGGATGGTGGCGGTTGAATCCTTTTGGTGGGAAGGGATTGGGTTCCTTGTCTGTCTGTCTTGTTCTGGAGTGGATTATTGTCTGTTTCTTGTTCTCATGAATGTGGAATTGAAATACACGCTCTTCGTGCCGTCGAATTGATTGATTATTGATGGGTGTTTATTTTTTAGCTCGGATGGTTGAGAGTACCTGTGTCAATTAATGATGATGACGTTGCGAGACGGAGCGGGATCCTGCGGATGAATCAAATGGATGGACAACTGATAAGTTGCGGTTGACCCTCGTGCTGTAATCGTCGGTGGTGTTGGATGTAGTGAATGAGAGAAGGCGGGCAAGTATGCGGGCATATCGTGTCACTCGCCGACGATCTTTGATGTCTTCCCATTGTCTCCGTCGGAACTCAATGGTAATATACAAGCAGTCAGACGTATTCCCCATACCCCAGCCCGTCTAGTATGATACATTGCCCGATCTCTCCCTAAGCCTCCTCCTCTCCACCCAGAACCTCCAGCTCCTTGATCCTCAACACCGTGTACGGATGTTTGCTCTTAACCGTCTTGATCTTCCTCTGTCTACGCTTTGTCTTCTTTTTGACCCTCATGGGCTCCCTAGTCTCCTCCACGACCGCCGCGCGGCACGAAAACAGCTTCTCGTCGATCCACGGACTGCCCTTGAGCGTGTAGTCCCTCGAGCCGAGGATGCTCGCGTGCGTCAGCCGCAGCGTCTGCCCCGGAATGATGTTCTTCAGCCGGAACGGAAGCGTGATCGTGTCGCCCAACGTGACCAGGAACGGGAACGAGTGGATGTGGATGGTGATGTAGTGCTGCGGCTGCGCGCGCAGCAGCGGGAGGAGCCGGAGTGTCTCCGCCTTCGACGACGGCGGCGACGCGGACGGAGGTGGGGGGGTTGCGGTCGTAGTTGCGGTGCTGGTGGTGGTAGCCGGTGCGGGGGCGAGGTCGGGCACCGCCGTGCTGGTGCTGAAGGGGGCGGCGACGGCGGGCCAGAGCGGCGATAGCACGCGACGACCGGCGGCTGCGAGGAGTGTGGGCCGTAGTATTCGCTGGAGCATTGTGTGTCGTGACGAGGCGTGGTGGGGGTGGGGAGTCTCCTACATAGGCTGGCTCGTGTGTGTGGTGGTGGGTGGGTGAGGTTCAATCCGTTAGTTCGCTAGTGCGCCAAGACACGAAGAACCCAAAACTTTCGTGTAAAAGTGGTTTCGTTAGAAGCCTCATCCACTGTCTGTCTGCCCGCCACTAAACACTACCCTCCTCACATCAACCCCTTCCCCACTACACTCGCTCATCATGGTATGCTGCCCGAAAGGCGAAGGAGGAGGAGAGATGCTGACCTCCATCACAGCCTCAGAACGAGTACATCGAGCGCTGGACGCAGCAGCACGGTCGCCGGTAACATCACCCCGCACCATCATACATTCGTAGCAACCACTAACCCCACCTTGTAGTCTCGACCACGAGGAGCGCAAGCGCAAGAAGACCGCGCGTGAAGCCCACAAGCAGTCGAAGGATGCGCAGAAACTGCACGGTCTGCGGGCGAAGCTGTACGCCAAGAAGCGGCACGCCGAGAAGATCCAGCTGCGGAAGACGCTCAAGGCGCACGAGCAGAAGTCGATCAAGTCCTCTGCACCCTCAGAGCCCTCTTCGCAGCCGCTGCCCGCCTACTTGCTCGACCGTGAGCAGCCAAACACCGCAAAGGCGCTCAGTACCGCGATCAAGCAGAAGCGACAGGAGAAGGCGGCAAAGTTCTCGGTGCCCCTGCCAAGGGTGAAGGGAATCGCCGAGGATGAGATGTTCAAGGTGGTCAAGACTGGTGCGAAGACGAAGCAGAAGGGGTGGAAGAGGATGATCACCAAGCCGACGTTCGTCGGACCGGATTTCACCAGACGGCCAGTCAAGTACGAGCGCTTCATTCGGCCCATGGGAATGCGTTACAAGAAGGCGAATGTCACTCACCCTGAGTTGGGCGTGACCGTTCAGCTGCCGATTTTGAGCGTTAAGAAGAACCCTCAGAGCCCGATGTACACCGCGCTTGGTGTGCTCACGAAGGGTACTATCATCGAGGTGAACGTCAGCGAGTTGGGAATGGTCACGGCTGGTGGAAAGGTCGTCTGGGGAAGGTGGGCGCAGATTACGAATAATACCGAGAACGATGGTTGCGTCAATGCGTGAGTCTTTCTTCTCCCTCTTCTCCCATCCAGACTAATCGGCGAATAGGGTCTTGCTCGTTTGATATCTCTTCGATTTCCGTTTTCAGCACTTGTTCGTTCGTTTTGCTCAGCTGGCACTGTCCGTTCACTTGACGGGCTATATAAAAATAAAACGCTGGAGTTTGTGGGTTTTGTTTTTTGTTTTCATCTATAGTTCATTGCAAAGAAAGACATGTTTCCATATCATATTACGTGCCATCATCAAAACTCGAGAAGAAACTCTCACAATCATTCATTCCCATTCATTCCCGCCATAATCCATCCCCCATATAATGATAAATACCGCTAAAAAAGAAGAAAGGAAACCACAGCAACCCGCGTTAGTGTCGGGCGCATATCCAGTGTTGAGTTGGTATTTGGTCTGAAAAGTGAAGGGTAAAAAGCCGAGACCACGAAAAAAACGGCAAAATCGGTCTCCAAAGACGAATACAAAGTGAGTATGTTGGCCAGAAAAAGAAAAACACCCAAAAAGCAGCCCTCACGCCAAAAGCACCAGTCCCCCCAAAAAGATATAACAACGAAGTAGTAAGGAAAGGAAAGGGAAAGTAGAAGGATCCCATAATAAACAAAGAGGGAGAAGAAGAGAAACATTGGGTATCACCACGTGCATCAACAAAATCCAAAAAAAGTACCACTACCGATATCCGGGCCGTTGTGTATCCATCCTCCGTTCTAGCTTGGCAAACACATCTTTCGCCCAAGTTTGGAGTGTGTACGTGCTGGGTTTCCCGTTTGCTTCGACCGTGTCGGCAGCATTCTCTAACAGCTGCAGCAGCATATCCTCGGTGATCTCAACAACGCCGGGTTTGCTGTCAGGATTCAGGAAAGGATCTTCGGCGCTGAGTAATTGCCGGATTGTCGGACGCTTTTCCTTGTCTCTTTCGAGGCAACCCTTGATCGTATTGATGAGGGAGCGAGGGACCTTGACGCCGCCAATACCGGTGGAGGGGTAGTCGATAGGATGATTAGGATCTGGGATAGCCGCGATTTTTTGGTACATCGACGTCAGGTGGTAGAATGGGGTGCGGCCGTATGTCATCTGGTAGAGGATGCAGCCGAGGGACCAGACATCGCTGGGAGCACCGAGCTTCATGAGACGGGGTTGGCCGACCGAGGCCATTGGCTTTCCGGAGGAGGCATTGATGTCGACGATTGCTTCGGGGCTCATGTAGTTTAGGGTACCGACTTGGCTTTCGCGGTGGACATTGACGGTGTCATCTTGAATCGCGTTGGCGATGCCAAAGTCGATCAACTTCAGCTTGCCACGGACGAGGAGGAAGTTGGCGGGTTTGAGATCGGAGTGGATAACGTTATATTGATGGACAATGTCAACGCATTGAAGCATCTCACGCCAGTAATATCGGACGAAACTGACGTCAAGCTGGGAATCCTCGTTACCATGGCGCAATGTGAGGATATTGGCAAAGTCGGTCTCGCCGCATTCCATAAGCTATAGTTATACAGTTAGCGTGGCTTAAAAATAAGATGCATTGGGCCAATTTACCATCGTCAAGGTTTGTTTCTCCTCGTTCATCTCAAAATCGTACAACCGGATCACCCGTTCCTCACCACTCAACCTCTTCAACAAATCGATTTCTCCTTTGTATCCCAAGATTGCAGCTGGGCCGTCCTGCTCGTGGAAAGTAACCTTTTTCATAGCAAACATCTTGTGGTTCTCGGCCATAACCTTATACACTTTACAGGAACCTCCTTTGCCGATAGCATCTAGTCGGCGATATGGCTTGCCATTGATCGTCACTGTGGACCTGTTTCGCCGTGTGTTCTGCGACGTTTTCGTGGCCGCAGCTCCAGCTGTAGCTGTGACAGCCTCTAGCATCGACATCTTTGGTGGCGGCGGCGGGGGAGCCTGGCGGACGGGCCGCAACGGGGTGTTGCTAGTCTTTGCTGCCAATGCCCGCTTCTCCGGGGGCGGTGATGCCGGCGCCAGTGGTTCCATCTTAGGAGGCAGTACAGATGGAGCTTGGAATACAGGCGGCGGCGGCTTCTCCAGGGTGTTATCCAGTCGCTTGTACGAAGACGCAGCTACAGCAGGTCGACGAAACGCTGGCGGTGGCATATTCTCTTTGTCCGACTTTGTTTGAGGTGCAAGCGCAGGAGCAGGAGTAGTGGCAATAGTGGCAGCAGCTCTCGACATTGCCGACACGGGCGAAGCTGAGCCAGCATTATCAGCCGAGTGGCCAATGTCGACCTCCGGTGATGCCGAGTGGTAGACGTTCATCTGATATTGGCCCGAGAGACTCTCCGGTGATGCTCTCCGAGGGCGTCTCGAGATAGTGGGTATCGGCTCAGGGTCATAGCTCGTTTCTTTTTCCCCGCCGGAAGTAGGGGAAGCGGAACCCATTCGTGAATGGGACATAACTCCATTGTTCGATTCACGGCCTCCTACTTCCTCCGGCGAGCTTGAGTTCCTCTCAGGAATACCCTCATTGTCCCTTCTCTCTTCGTCCACATCCGAGGGGTCGCTCTCTCTCCTAGGTCCCCGCCTAGGAGCTCCACCAACAGGTCCAAGCAACCCCCTTCCTGCTCTCTTCCATCGCATAGCAGATGCGGTTGTCGAGGGTGGGAGTCCACCAACAGTTCCAGGCCCCGGGCGAACGGCAGTAGCGTACCCATTGGGGTGATGTCGAGTCTCTGGCTGATCTTCATGTGCTGCTATGTCGCCAGCAGATCCAGGTCCTTCCGCCCTTGAGTACTGCCCACTACTGTATGCCCGTCGACTATACCGAGGAACTGCCGCCGGCGTGACGAATTCCTGTCCAGTTGGCCGATCAGGACTGCCGTCTCGCGATGTGCCGAAGCGCCGTGACGAGCCCTGCGACGAACCCGTACGAGTTGCAGAGCCGGAGCGTTCCTCGGGGTCGGGGGATTGACTCCATGTTATTCTCTTACGAGAAATTGAGTAGCGAGATAATGGCGACCGGCGAAGTCCTTCGTCTGCCTTTTCCTGCTTTTCTTTCTCATATTCTTCTTCCTTCTTTGTCTCCGATAATCCCGGTTCCGGGAATTCGTCCAGAAGCATCCGAGCCAGAGCACTCAATTGGGGAGCCTTACCCTCGTCATCAGAGTCGTCAAACTTATCGTACGATGTAGTGAGAGGATTTCGGGCAGGAGGAGGAGGAAATGGAGGGTCGGGCGCAGTGTAAGAGAGCGGCGACCCACGACGTGAACGCGTTGCGGCGAGAGGACTCGAGCGTCGCTGGCGAGTGGATCGATAGAGGCCAGCAAGAGGCGATTGATTAGATGTAATTTCGGATTCCATTGTGTATGTGGGCGTTGTATGGGTGCTGTGTAGGTTGGGTGTTTTTGTCGGTTCGCTGTCTTTGATGTCGATCGACCACCGGGAGGGGTTTGTTGGCTATTATTTCTGCTTCGAAGAGTGCATGTGTCGGTGAGTGAATGTGTCCGCTACGGTAATTACTATGGTCTGTGCATGGACAAGCACAGATATTCCGGGGTATCGGAGGTGGTGGTGGTGGTGGCTGCGGTGGTGGTGGTATGTTAGTGAGGATTAGGTAGTCGATATGGTGGTGGTGGTGGTGGTTGTTGTCGAGGTTGTCGTTTTTTGCTTGTGTTTACGAAGAAGACAACAACAACAGCGATGGGGGAGGGATGAGGGCGAGGAGTTGGGCCATTTCCCGACTACTTGTTTACAGCAACGGAGGCGTTGCCAGGGCAACCGCGATTGCTTTCGCGCTATCGGCCCCACGGGACACCACGAGCATCAACACGGGGATACTTTACGCACAGAATCAATATGGAGAATTTCCTGGCTCACGACTTTGCAATGCTTCTCTATTTTGTGGCTGTCATTCCAAGCTGGTCCACTCTCCTTCTCACTCCCCTCCAAAAAATATTTTCCTATATCTAACAGCTACGGACAGATTTGGCAAGCTTGTGTCGAATCTAGAACAATTACTCGGAAACTGAAAGCCGAGCTCGAAGAGAAGTGCTATCACCTGGACACGTCGCTGTGGAGAGCTGAGACGGAGTCAGCACGCGCATTCTCAATGCCCACCATGACTCTAGTGGAGAGTGCGTAATGCGTGAATTGCCTGCAACAATCTTGAGTCTCGATCAACTTTAGTGTCATCATCCCTATGAGGATGTTCGTTTTCTTACTAGAAAACCCGCGGTGCAACATGCCATAACCGGCGCCCACTTCGGCTTCCGTCTTGGAGAGAGTATCCACCGGAGAAGAAGGGCATGCGCAGCCCTTCCTCATGATTTGTGAGCACGGCGAGTGATCGACCGTGGCTTTTGGTCAACGTTCAAACTCGTTCGAAAGCCCCTCAAAGAAGAAACTCCCACAACCACACATACTCCACTCTTCTTCATTGCCACCGTCATCTAGAAAGCTTACCTGTTATGGTTAACAGCACTGCCTCCTTGATAGGCGCACTCGGCCAGTTCTCCAGACGAGGCGCCACCCTTATCCATTCACCCTCTCACACGGACCGGCAAGTGCTACACACTCGCACTCTATGCATCACACGATTGGAGATTGGCCATGGTCGCTTAGGCATCCTGATCCTGTCACCTTACTGGGCTTACTTCCTCTACGTAGAACATTTCCCACATGCGCTACTCCCGGTGGACCGAGGGACTGACGAGAGTGGACGATGGACTTGCATAGGTATGCTACTCCGGAATTCGTTCTTAAGTTTTGGTTCCGAGTTAGGTAAAATCGACGAGCCGCGCTGTCCTTTGGCTTCATAGACTCCAGGCAACTGGCGACGATGGTCCAGTCCAAAGTTGAAACATGCGAACGGAACGGCACGGTGACTGTGGGGACTTCGTCCACCGGTAACGACTACGGTAGCATCTACTAGTTACTAGCAGTAGCTCGTGGGTAAATAACCAAGAACCGCCTTACAAAAAGAGATCCATGGAAAGCGAGGGTATCCAGAAAGTTAGGACTTCATACGAGGAACCAGGGCAGGAATAGGGATCCGGGGAGTGGCAGAGTCAAAACTCCGCAGACTGCAGAGAACTCTGCCCTGCGAGAACGACGGACCTTCGTATCATGTGTCGCGACAAGGCTCTACAGAAGGTTGTTTCTCTCTGTCTCCCTTAATACTCCCCTTCGCGTGCGGAAATCAGCAGTTAATAGTTCTAGAAATGGCAATATCGCAGACGTGTCGTCGTTACTCATCACTGGTCGCTCTGTGTGGCAGGCAATATGGGGAAAGAATCAGCCCCTCCCCTCATCCATCTCAGGTCCCGCATTCGGCCCTGTCTACGGCGACCGAAACCCCCTCCCACTCTCCACCACCAACTGCCAAAAATACCCACGGGGCGCATCGAGCTCTCAGAGATCCCGGGGAAGTCAGCAATACTACCCATCATCACTCCTTGGCTTCTTTCCCACAGTTGATCTTGCCATCAACCTGTCGGTCCCTATCGCACGATCGCTATCGCCGCCCTCAGAACTCCCCCTCCCTTCACCAGCAGTCCGAACTCCAGAACGACTGTCATAAAGTGACGACTCAATCGACGCCGCTTCGTCATCCGTTCTTTCCTCACACCTCCAAGTGCTACTCGTGCCCCACCGGCTTCTGCATCGTTCGGCAAGTGATTACACAAACTGCGCGCCTGTACCTCTCGAGGACCTGTTATTTGACTGCGCCCTTGCACCCGCTATTCCGCCTCGCCTTCCTTTCGTCTTCCGTCGTCCCCTGCCATCGCGCATCAAAACATCCCAGAACCGCAGTCACCGTCTGCACAACAAGTTCTAGTAAAGTCTACATTCCACAGTCTTAGAAAGGCGCGACTGCAGAATCAAGCGAGGCGCTCGGAGAATTGAACGTTGCCAGAAGGCTACTAGAAGGCATTGGTAGCCCACCATCACCACCACCACCCAAAAGCAACCGCACCGCCCCAATCATCGCCCGCCGCTAAACATACCACAAGGCATACCCGCGCATTACTGACATCTTCATATCTACTATCTGCCCAGCCGAGGGAGAACGGTTGGAGCTTCTCTTCTGCTACAGCTGAGAGACGTTGTTGGAATGAGAGTGTTGAACGAACATCCGGGAAGAATATTATCGACACATTATTGAGAAGGGAACGAATAACGAGAATATTTACAAAATATTTCTTGCTTCGCGCCACTTGCACGGATACATCCCGCGCGGGAGGCGTTTACTGGGCCAACCGATCGTTGGTACGTGGTCGCTTTCTTGCTCCTACGACCGTGAACTCGGTCGTTAGGGTGTCCAGGGTCCCTATAGGTTCATACCACCACGCGAAAGGTTGCGCGGCCTTCCGGTGACTATGCTGATGGTGTATCTGGACAGCGGAAGCAAATAATTTGAGCGTATCGTTACGACATGGGATCTATCCACACGCCAAATAGCAATACTTCCCTAGCGACTTCACCGGCACCGATCAACAAAATCTCACGAGGAAAGATGGCGAACAACATGCACCAGTTTGCATGTTCCCCGAACCGGAATGACCCACGGCGTATCTTCGAATTTGACGGATCTTTGTTCCTTCTAGACGGAAATGCGTCGACTCCTGTGTCGCAACCGTTAAGACCCGCTCTTCCCAGCATGGCATCTCACGCGCGATCCCCGTCGGCGCCTTACAGTACAGGTTCGCCAGGCGCAGCCGCTACTCCGGATTCGCACAACAGCTACGACTCGAGCTATCTTGACCCGCGAGGGTCTTCCTCACCTTCGGCCCATGAGATAGGGATCAGTGGCAATACGACACCTGGGTTTGAGACCTTGGAGGACCTGCCGGATCTTGGGATTAACATACCTGAGCTCGAAGATGAGCGGTTTGGTCTGCCGCCGAACTCGGCTGGTTCGAACGGATATCCACCGAGTCCTCGCCTGACGGCCTCACCTCACCCAGGTGCGGCACAGCTCTCCCCGGAGGTGACCATCTCCAGGTTCTCGGATTGTGGTAGCCCAATCATCAAAATCGAGCATTCGACACCAGACTACCATCCTAGCCCTTACGTTCAGCAACACAGTAATTCGTCCACTACCTCAGACCTAGCCGAAGGCAACGGGACGATCCGGCGCGGCGAAGATGGGAGCTGGCACGGCGGTCTGGATCCATCTACCAGAGGCAGCGAATACCTCCCGTTTTCGCTAAAAGAACAAGAGTTTGAAGCGATGAAGCAAGCCAAGAATGCTGATGTAGAGGAGTGGTTGCGGAGATCCGCCGAACAATTACCGCGCCAGCCCATCAGCGGTGGACTTGTGGCGCCAAAGGAAGGTCGGAGGCGCTCGCGAAGTGTGTCAGACTTCCGCTTAAGCCAAGCGTTCGAGGATGGCAAACCCATGGGCCAAATACAGAATGGCACCGAGACGGCTAACGCGGTTGTCATTGATGATGAAGACGACGACGATTCCTCGGTCGCGTCGGTTGATTCCACGTGGCAGGATGGATCCCTCGACGATGAACCGCCGCCAAATGTCAAAAAGGAGCTATCCCGCAAACCAGAAGATGTCGATATGGACGAGGCTGACGAAATCGATGATGAGGAACGACTACAGAGGGAACGGGAAACTGACCCCTCATTGCTGCCCAAACCCAAACAGTTCTTCTCATCGCATCCCTGGAATGACATCGCGGCACCGGTCACTCGAGGCGCTACCATGGCCCATCGAAACCAACCTGGAACTGCGAATATGGCCATCATGAAATTTCAGAGATACGCCGAAAACATCGAGACCGCCTCCAGGGTGGCAACGGCGGGAAGCAACATGACCAAAGGTCGGCGAAACAGTGCCGGAGATGCGGACAAGGTGCTTCCCGGTCCATTGAAGAGATTGAGTTTCGGCAGAGACAAGAGCAAGAATCCAGGCACTCCTACGAGGCGGCCAAGCATCTGGGGTGGCTTGAGGTCCGGCTTGAAGAGGGGTCTTAGCAATGCTGGAGATAAGGATAAGGATAAAGAGAAAGACGGGGAAAACTCCTCCTCGTCCCCCACTTCCCCCACGGATAAAAACAATGCCAAGTTGCAGTCACCTCCTGATGGGCGGAAACGGGGCCGCTCGTTCTCTTCTCTCAGTGGGCCTTCTAAAGCATTTTCGCAAGGAATTCTCGGTCCCACATTCGGTCAGCCTAGTGGTTTACAAGTCCAGACTTCCAACATTGGCAGTGCATTCGCACAGATGGCTTCGCCACTCATGGCCGCGGGAGCTGGTGCGAATAAGCCAAGTACTGCCAGTCCACCACCGCTTAGCGGTGTAATCGCCCGCGTGAGGAGGAGGCGGAGCAGGAGTGAGCTGCAACGGAAACACATCTTTGGCGTGGTCACTAGTCTAATAGGCCCGGCACTACCATCTGCTTCCACTTCAGCTTCGACACCACCGGACCAGGAAATCACACCGGGGCGGATCTCGAAGAAATTTACATTCGGCGAGGACTCACAGCAGCGGGGTGTAGAGCAAGTAAAGAAGTTCCTGTCGCCTGTCGACGCACAGAATAATCGGAACGGCGACGACGAGGATGGCACGGATGATGGCGATATCTCGCCGCAGACCGCCCGGACACCTGGTGGTACAAAGGCTGCTCTGCCGAAACACGAAATCATCCCGACGTTGGATGGATTTGCCCAGAATGTTAGGACGCTGGCGCCTGGGCTGAGTCAGAAGCTCGTCGATCGTATTGCTCATGAGCAGTGCAAGAGGTTCAAGAAGTTGGTAGATCATCGCCATAAGCATCTTGTGGCGTTGAAGGCAAATGGTCATTGTAGCAACAATGCGAAGTGTCGAAAGGTTTTTGGTGCCGTCGGCGTGGGTAGTGATGGTGTTGTTGGTGTCATTGGGCATAAACGTGGGAATAGCAACAGCTTTGATGCCGATGACCATGGTATCCATTTCCCACCTTCATTCTCCTGACAGGGCAATAGATTGACGAATTGTGCAGGCTTTGATTCCTCCGATGAGAATGACGGCGCATCACCCGGTGATGGCAACGTTGCAGCTGCGCAATTCCCACCGGGAGTGCCGACGCCTCCTGTCTCTCGTCTGCCTGCAGAGTTTGAGTGTCCTATCTGCTTCAAGACTAAAAAGTTCAACAAGCCCTCGGACTGGACCAAGCATGTGCATGAAGATGTCCAACCCTTCACTTGCACATTCCCGGAATGTACCGAGCCCAAGTCGTTCAAACGGAAAGCCGACTGGGTACGACACGAGAACGAGCGGCACAGACACCTGGAATGGTGGACTTGCAACCAACCAGACTGCAATCACACGTGCTATCGCAAAGACAACTTTGTCCAGCACCTGGTGCGAGAACACAAGATGCCGGAACCCAAAGTCAAGACGCAAAAGAAGAACAGCAAGGATGCATCTAGGTCCGAGCTTGACAGAGTGTGGCAGATTGTCGATGCGTGTCACCAGGAAACATCCGATCTCCCCACGTCGGAGAAGTGCCGCTTCTGTGGAAGTACCTGCTCAACTTGGAAGAAGCTTACGGTACACTTGGCACGTCATATGGAGGCCATCAGTCTTCCCGTCCTCGACTTGATCAAGGATGATGCCGTGGTTCCGGTGACTAGAGGACCCAGACGACACATTCCCGCCCATAATCCGGTGCCACGACAAGCAGCTCCGTCGCCGCAACGACAACAGCAACAACCGATACCGCCACCGGTATCAAGCATGGAAATCGACACATACTCGATCCCCGCTCCAGCCCCGCTGCAAGTGCCAACCTACAACCTTACACCGCCGCAACCGTCGCCGCACCAGCGCTCGAGGTCGGTACCGGCATTCGATTACATGCAGCCGGAATCAATGCAACCCACATATAGCGGCTTCCAGTACGACCAGCAGCAGCAACAGCAGCAGCAGCAGCAACAGCAGCAGCAGCAGTCACAACAGCCATACCATCATAAGTCGCCACAGCCACAACAAGTGTACTCACAACAGACCGGCTTCGACGGCGGAGGCGGCGGATACCAATACTATCCTACACAGCAGGGCTACAATGGGTTCGTACACACAACCACCCCGTTGTCACAGAGTGTTAGTCCGATGATTGGGGCCATGACGTATTATCCCGAGACAGAGATCGCGGACCAGTATATTTATCCGCGGTAGTTATGAGGAGTTAGGATTGGGAGTGAGAGTAAGTGTTGGGAGTTTTTTTCGGGCAGGATCTTCTGGGGGTTTGCGAGTTATTTCTTCTCTGCTTGGTTATATAACGTTATGATTGTGCTGCGTTTCTATGGATGGATGGGTTGGTTTCGTTTCGTGGCTGGCCAGGAGTGTTTTGGATAATGAGAATTCAATAGATAATCCATTTTACTTACATAGTACCAAGTACTTGCAGTGGGGGGGGGGGGGGGGGGGGGGGGGTCTGAACTTCTTTCCCTTATAAGAGCAAGCGGGGGATATGGATATCGATAATTCGGGCTCAACTCATTGTTTCGACCCTAGTGTTGAAGGTCTCTTTCGGATTACAACTCTGTTATCACGATATTTTTTCTCGAGGAGAGTAAACGAGAGAAAGATAACACCAGATTATTGCAGCATACGGCCTATCAAGAGTACTCTAGACCATGGCGACAAGGTAGGTACCTAATAGGTAGTGGTCGGACATTATGGATTATGGCATCGTGTCATATCTACACGACCGGCCAATTTCCAGCATGGTAGGGTATGGAGAGGTATGATATGATACGGTATGGTATGGTACGGTATGGTATGGTACGGTATGGTATGGTACGGTATGGTATGGTACGGTACGGGTATGGGATGGGATGGGATTGTACTGGTAGATATGGGATGGTATCATGTATGGTACGCGTGGCCGCTCCATTTCACGCGAGCCCCTTATTTTTTCCAAAGAATCTGGAGAAAGTGCTATGGGATGTACCATGTAGGTATTATGCGAACGTTTCGTGGGGCGAAGGAAGCAGTATGTACTCGAGTACATACACCGTGGTTAGTTACTGCGAGGCCATCGAGAGGATGTTTGTGGGCATTGGGCACTGGGAAGGCATTCGTCTTGTTTTGTCTGTCGTCCGTCACGAACTGGCGAGCTGAAGCCTCAAGCTGGGATTTTTGACTTTGCGGCCAGGCGTGGAGGATGAGGATAAGGAAGCTTCAAGCGCTTCAAATAATCTCCACCTAAACGCTCGGTCGGTGGCAACGCTGATATTCATTCCGGAAGTCGTTCATGATCATTTTCGGAACTCCCGCCCGGGTGATGTTCCGATACCTACCGTACCTCGTCAACTTTAAGGTCAATGGCAATTCCGAGCCCGAGCCCCCTCATGTCTGATGTACATACATTCATTTAAACATCGGAATCTCGGACGGACCGGAGTCATGCTCGTTTCGGGACCGGTTGGCTGACAGAAGCTTTTGCACCGGAAGGGCTGCTACATAGAAGTTGGGGAGGAAGTGGACGGAGAGGAGCCTATTCAATCTGACCAACAGACACGGGAAACTTAAAAGAGCAGAATGAGGGTGGGCAGAGGTTCAGAGAACACAGCCGCAGCACCCATACAGTAGCAAAAAGTGGGGAGCGAATGATGCCGAAGGTCTCTAGTAGGTATTACTACCGCTCGGATATAAATCCAGCAGTGCCATAGAATACAGATTTACTCTGGTATTTTTATCAATCCGTCTCCTCCCATATCAATCCATATCCTCCCATATCAATCCAAAATAACCCATATCAATCCAAAATAACCCATATCAATCCGTATCCTCCCATTTCCTCCCTTATCCTCCCATATCCTCCTTTATCCTCCCATATCCGCCTCTGCAAGATTACTTCAGTGGTAGAAGTAATCACCCTTTCAACTTCCAGCGAGGTTCACAAACTATATGGCTAGCGGACATCTTTCCAGCGAGGTTCACCGTTCATGTGATTTATTCGCCCAGATCTCGCCAGAAAGGTCCTCGAATATTTGAGCATTCCCGCCATGAGAGCAGATCCGGAACGAGTTTTTAGCGGGGCTAAAACCACACTCTCTCATCGTCGCTGAAGCATGCGTGACGACGCACTGAACAGTGAAGGCCCTACAAGGTCTCAAAAGGTAGCAACAAGATGGTCTTGTAGCTGCTATTTACAAAGGGCGATATCAAGGAGATGGAGACTATTCTCAATACACTGTGCGAGGAGGGTCTGCAATAGCTGTACTATACCTAGACGTGTACAAGAAGTTCATTACGTATTTCAAAGATTTTTCATTCAAAGTACCTGTCCCTACAGAATTGAGAAGTATCAGGCAGTGCCTACACTACGTAAAATAGCTAGGATTGCATTCGCTCACCGAAATGTTTTGCAACGCGAGGAAATTTACAGATAAAGTAGCGAACCAGCCGACTTATAACGATTGAACGAGTGATCTTTTTTATTTTGTTTTTTGTTTTATCATGCAACCCGCAAGAGTAAACGAGTGATAAAAGGAGCTCCGAGAAATCAATCACGTCATGTGTCGAGTGATCGGCAATGAGTACCACTCATCATCAACCACTCGCCGCATGCATCCCCTGGGCTCTCGCTGGGCAGCCAAGCTTTTTTTTGGGACATTTGTGTTCTCTTCCAAGTTCCAGTGAAGCACTTCTCCATCGCAGCCGCGTTGACGCAAGATTACAGCCTCGCGCGGAACACGTGTTTGACTGCCCGCCAGAGTGGTGCATACGAGCTCACTCGGCGTGATGTCAGAGACCTCGAATCGTCGGGCTGTTTCGGCCCCAGACCCCAGATCCGTTGGCAGTGCATATCAGACGAAATTCAGGTCGCGAGCAAGCTTGTTCTTACCGGCTCATGACGTACGAACGACCCATACAAATATATGCATCTCGAAAACCATTCGCTGCCCACCGCCCCGCAAACAAGTGATGCCGTGGTTCGAAACAATCGTGTCTTTGTGGGGTTCTCGTTACTCCACCTCCACCTCCACGATGCAGGGGGGGGGCGGGGGCTTCCAGGCTCACCTCACCGGTGGTGTATAGGTTGGTAGGTAGGTAGATTCCCGGACTAACTAGGGCAAATACGTCCCTTGACGTATATATAACGCGTGATAGACTTCGGACAACGTAGACATCTCGAAGTCTGGCCACGAGTCAACTGTCATGCGGTGGTTCAAAACAAGAAATTTTGCTTAGAGGTTTTTCCAGATCCACTGGACGATGCTGTCGTTAACAAGCCTCGGACTGACACAAACGTGTCCTTTGACACATAACGCTCGATAACTCTAGATACCTGCCATGCCGTCATTGACGGGGGGTTGTATGGCAGCCCGGTTCTTGCTTGCTCGCTAGCGGCAATCCCGAGCCGGACGAACTTTTGTTTGTTTGTACTTGTGGGGAGAAGGGGAGACGGCACATTAACGTTTCGTACGTACTGTGCCAACACTCTCGCCGAGGCCGTCAATCGTACAACGCCACACCATCGGCGTTTCCTGAGCTGCTTTGCCTGGTCGTGCTGTCGTGGTACTGTGAGGGGATTCGTACTGCGCACACTGTGAAGATTATAGTGCACCGACTTCAATTCCTACGATGATGGTAGGAAGTTTCGATCGGCGTGGTGGTAGAGGGAGGTTGTTTGTCCGGGGGTTCGAAGTGAAGTGAATAAGCACATAGTAGTTAATGGGCAATCGGGCAATCGGCGTAGGCAACTGTACAGGATGACTGCCACTGTAGAACTACTGCATGTAATGTGCACAGTTCTCAATGCACGGTGCACAGTAACTAGCCCCTGCTGCAGGTTTTGCCTTGCGTACATACGTCTCCTTCGGAAACGGTAGTGTTGCAGTATGTATGAGCACGAGCAATCCCGGAAATTGTGCTCAGCACGCCAGTCAGCAGTGCAGTACTTACGCCTTTCAACAGACCCCATCGTCTGGGTTCCGTGGCTAGTGGCTGAGGAGTACGTACAGAGATGAAGCACATATCCACGCAGGGGGTCTGTTTCCGTGCCAGTAGCATGGTCGAACCATACGGACCATACAGTCCGTCCAGGGGAGTGAGTGCGCACCACCAGCTGGGAAAGTCCGATCAGTCCCCTCAACCGATTGAAACGGCCAGAACGCTAGCTCTGACGACGTCCCCGTGGAGTCCGGTTGGAGCCCCTATCAACACGGCGGGATGGCCGAGTGAGGATGTGTGCAAATGTGCGGCGCCACCCAATCGCGGCAACAATGACCACAACGGTCGCCCCCGTGATGTCGCTCTGCATCTAGGAAACCCCCAGATATAAATGATGTCGGACTGAAGGGATAGCAGTGAACCTTAATCGGATGTCCGGTCTTGCAGTGAACCCTGGCGTTGTTCCTCTCATGGCTAGAGGAGTATTCCTAATCCTGCACTGGCGTGCGCAATAGTGCGGATGGCCGGCTACTCTATATATTAGGTAGATAGACAGTCTGTTCCAATCCCGGCCCCACCCTTTGGCTGGTTACATACCCGAACGGGCCAATTCAAGGCTGGCAACGACACAATATACCCTAGCTTCCTAGCTTCCCGGAGCCTTGCGGCTTGAACCTATCAACTTCCGCACCACCAGCAACGTCTTAGATCTTCCCAACCGATGGAGTGGCGTATATAAATGGAACCATCATTGCCTACCGACCGACCGATTACCGCATCCGTCTCCCAACAGCCTCGTTAATACCTAGTAAGGTCTGATGCCCATTGCCCACCCATCCCCCCAATCCGCAAACACAGCAACCCTTCCCATCCCCATCCCCCCCTCCATCCCAATCCACATATCCACCAGCCCACCCCCCAATCCGCATCTATAGCAGCCCTCCCCATCCCCCATCCCCACCCCATCCCCCCGCCAATCCACATATCCACCAGCCCTCCCCCCTCCACGACTGGAGGTCCAATCGGTAGCTTTACTACCGTACTCTACCGTACCGTACCATACTCTAGCATGTACATAGGATCCAGCCACGGGTTCGTCGGTTATCAGCTACTATCCAGCTCATCCCATGCAGTCGGCAACCTCCCTTCCCCAACCGATCCGACAATCCATGGCACCCACGGACCAGCGATCCCTTCACACCGTGAGCGGCATCAGGTATGTAGCCAGGTAGCAGCTTCGCATGTGCAGCCAACAGCGTTGAAGCCTCACCCCACCATACCACACCACACCACAGCCTCGCCGCCGGTACGGAGCCAATACTCCCCCCCCCCCTCCCCCCCGTCCCTCCACTTTTATACCCACTCGTACACCAATACTACTAGTACTGACACCCCCCCCCATCCCATCCTGTTGGGTGGGCGTGGGGAAGGGAGGAAGGGACGGAGCGAGCGAGCGAGCGAGTGCACGTGCGCCGGTGATATCTGGTGCGAATGAGATTGCTACTCTAGTCCGCCCAATATTCAGGTTCCACACATATCTGTGTACCTGGTACCACCCACGCATCCACCCAGCCACGCACGCTATGACGGATATCGCTGGTACCTAGATGTATACCGGTAGATAGATGGATGGATGGATACCTGATAGACGGGTCAGTGGGCGGATAGATGGATAGATAGATGTGATGTGCATATGTATTATAAAATGCATACCGTAGGTGGGACATCCACGGATGTCTCGTACCTACAATGTACCGCGTGTAACCTCACATCTCGAGAGGTGGGTCGCCGGGATGAGCTCCGTCGACGTGCACACTGCCCATCCCCACCCCCCTCCACACCCCTTGTATGTAGCATATGTACAAAAGACGTCTCTTCACGCTTATTACTACCTCAGTATTAGTACCCCCCTAACTCCCCTGACTCCCCTGACACGCTCACGCTCATTACTCTAACTGCCAGAGTAGCTATTGCAGTGTGCGCATTCGAGTAGCGTGCGTCTGCATTGCCGTACATACAGGATACAGGAAACCTCCGTACTACCAGTCTAACTACCACCAACTGTACTCGTCAGCCAATCAATCCGCCCCGACTCCAGTCTCCGAACAGATTCACCGCACCGCACACTGTACGGTGCGCACCTTCGTTCGAACGTGAATGACTCCTTCCCAAAGGCCACAGCTATCCCTTTGTCGATAGTATAATCTTGGCCGGCCGTCCACGAATGGGCCTCGCGGCGCAAGCTCTCTCGGCCCCGGCCGTTGACGTACGGTAGCTAGTGTGGAGTAGGTACGTCACATGTTTGGTGTTTGGTGCGCACATTAATGTGCCCACGATGTGCCCACTGCCCTCATAATGTGCGGATGGAAAATTGGTTTGTATGTAATTCGAGACAGGACAGGACAGAATTCCATTGCCAGTACGGAAAAAATAAGCAGAAACCCCTCCCACCGTCCCACCGTCCCATGAATTCCCCCCTTCACACGAGTCCCCCGCCCCGTCCACCCGCAAAATAGTCCCAATGACTCCCCTTATGATAGTCCCAATATCCCATAATACCCAATATCCCCAACATCCCCCCTCCATCCAAGATACCATTGGATCAGCAATCCCTGTGTTCCCCTCTCGTTCCCATATCCCTTTTACCCCCACAAAGAAAAGAAAAAACTCCTCCAAATCCCAACTTGAAAGAATATGCAAAAAACCACCAGCTGAAAAAGAAGAAAAAAGCATTAAATCGCGAAAATAGAAGCAGCAAACAGAGATGTTCGGCCGTTAAATCGAATCAAAAACTCAAAACCCAAGCAATACGGATGACAAGAGAATAATGTAAAAAAAAACGAGAAAAAATCATTCCAGCAACCCCCTTCCCCCCATCCCCCATCCCCCCTCCCCACTGTCCGTCCATCCGTGTTGTAGTTACCGTCGAGCCGTGATCATGATCGTAAAATAAAACAAAATAGTTGACAAATGAAATGGACGCCTCGGTTCCGTGAGTTTCGTAGCCGTAACTACCATGTATCCCAAATATGGGCGTGACAAAGGAAAAGAAAAGTGAGGGTGGAAAAGAAAAAAGTGTAAATCCTGTAACTTCGCTCGATCATGATATCCGCCTGCCAGCCATCTGGGCCGGTTTGCCCTTTCCGCTGTCTGTCGTGACTTTCAAGCCCCTTGTTGAAATCCCTCGTGTCCGTTCGTCCTTCGTTCCTCGTCCCTGCTGGAATGAATCGCCCGCCCAACCGTCGTCGTCTAATTGTGTTGTCCGGTCCTTCCTGACGTTGGGGGCCCTGTAACTAAGCGGCATCGTGTCCACCAGCCTATCCCATCCCATCCCCGCCAATCCACCCGAACCTCATGGCATGCAAAGTTTCCCTTCCTAACAACTTCCCATCACCGCGTCCTTGCCGACCTTTCCAAGCGTGTAGGCGCCATCGGACCCGCGGACGACGATCCTCTCCCTAACGGCCCAATCGATCAGGCCCTGATCGGGAGTCCAGCACCCAGGGTTGACGTTCTCGGTCGTGGCGGCAGCGTTCTCGTAGTGGCGACCGACGTGCTCCATTCTGTCGTCCCAGCTTCCGGGACCCACGAACCGCTTCGCGCAGAAGCCGCAAAGGCTGCTCAGCGGAAGCTCCCGCTTGACGTTGCAGCAGCGATCCTGGATGACTGGGATCTCCTTGGTGACGAACTCGTTCATCTGCGGAGACGCCTGGTTTCGCGTGATGTCGTTGGTCGTTTTGTGCTGACTGTCGGGCCCGTGCATCCGCTTCAGATGCTGGCCGAAGAGATCCTTCCGGTTGAAGGTGGAGGGCATCTTTTTGCTGCTTCGGTCGCCGCAGGGCACCATATCGCAGATCCACACTTTGTCCTGAATGTGCTGCGACGAGACGTGACGCTTCCACTCGTTCTTGGTGGCGAAGTCCTTTCTGCAGCCCGCAAAGTAAAACACACAATGGAAAGGACGTCTTTCCCGGCCCTTGTTGTTGTCGTCGCCGCCAAGGTCTGTACGGCGGCCGGTTCTTCGCTGGCGGTGAGGCTCGCCAGGAGTCTTCCGTCGCTTGTTGCTTGCAGCGGGCCCGGTGAGAAGCATGCCAGGAATGTGTCGGCTTCTGCGCGCCTGCATCTCCTCGAAATCGTTTTCCGGGCTCCTCTTTCGCTTGATGCTCGCAAGAAGCCCGGCCGAAGGCAAGCCGTCATGAGGGTATCGGCTATTGCGCGACTGAGACTCCCCGTAACCACCGTACGTTGGAGGCGCTTGTTGCACTTCCATTAGCGCCGGCGGCATCCGCCCCTCGCCGTCCTGCCAAGAACAGAGCTCGCCATAGGTCGGTGTAGGAGAGTAGGTCGACTGCTGCTCGTAGCCATCCTCGTCCCCGCTTGTCGCGCCAGCGCAGTAGCGGTTGACCTGGGCAGGTCCGACGAAACCCTGAGGGCACCCGTGGGCGCTCTGGTCCGCGCCGGACTGGGCCGATCTCGGGCGGTGTAGGCTTGGTGAATTTTGCTTGCCGGGGCTCTCGTGGTACGTTGAGAATTCGGTTGGGGCCGTGTACGGCGTACCCGTGGTGCACGTGAAGATGCTCTCGCTGATGATACTCTCAGTGTCAGGGTGTTGTTGCTGAATGCCGTCGCTGGCTGCGTAGCTCCGAGCGGCGTGACCACCCCCACGGGAACGATTCATGTGCGCCGGGGAGAGATGAGCGCCATCTTGCACGGGGTTCCACGGGCCATTTTGGTCCCACCTGGTGGGCCCAAATTGATTTCTGGCAGTATCCAGGACCAGGTCATCGTAGGTTTGACGCGACGTTGTGAACAAAGGAGAGGTCGGGAAGCGACTGGGACGAGAACCAGAGCCGAGGAGTGGCGACAAGGTTGCAGTCGAGGTCATGATGGGGTATTGATAGGTCAACGGTGATATCTGGGGAGATTCCGAATATCTCTGGCCTTCTGCGGGCATGCGCTGATGGGGAGATGAAGTAGCCATGATTTTTATCTACGAGCGTTCGAATGTTAGTGAGACGGACTTCACAATCCAGCGTCAATGGGAGGGGAGGAGATGATAAGATTAAGACATTGTGGGCACGTCCGCCCTGGGCTGCGGGGGCTATAGGTTACTGCGTGGGGCGGACTGAGACCGGACAACAGGACTGTGTGTGCATCTACGTAACATATTCCCCAAAGGGGCATACTCATGCAATGGTGCGCAAGGTAGAGTATGGTGAGAGTAGAGTACACACACGATATCAAGTAAATCACTGACCGGCACACAGTCTGCAGCAGCTCGCAGCCCATATCCCGTAGCCAAATGGCATAATAAAAACACAGAACAACGAAAACAGGAAACAGAGAGAGAGAGGATAATCATACAAGATGGGACGATTATGAGCCTCGTCGACGTGGTTAGTGCAAAGCTCCAAAGGCTTTGTTTTGAGCGTGAGGTGGTGTTGGAAAACAAAAAGGATCGGAGGCAGATCCACTGAGACCGAAGAGCAGGCTGCTGGGTGAATGGGTAGTCTTCAACAAACTACCGTTGGGTGGAGAGTTTTTTTGGCTGGGGAATTCTGGAGATATTCCCGGTAACACGACCGATGACAAGGCTGTAGGAGGATAGGCTGCTGTCGATACACACACACGCGGTTAGCTCTCTGGCTCTGCTCTACTCTACTCTGCTCTGCTCGAGTTCGCAAGCATCGAGAAAAGATGGCGAAGAACAACAGCGCCAACCAACCAACCAGCCGGGCACTTACGAAACACGATTCGACGGGGCCAGATGAGCGAGGGGAGACGAAGTACTATTCGTGCAAGAAAGAAGGAGTCGACTTCGAGAAGCGGCAGCGAGGAGTACTTCAGGCCCTTTCGATATGGGGGAGTTCGTAAATCGACTGAGCTAGCTAGCTTCTGCGCGCCGGAGGATCGGCGACTGTGCGCGTGGGGACTTGGGTGTGCAGCGGTAAGGAGGGGAGGGTGTACGGACAGCGGCGACTGCTGGGGCTGGGGGGGGGTCTGGGGATATATCGAAGGACGCAGAACGGAACAGGCAGGGTGTACAGAAAGAAAAAGTAAGTAGTAGTAGTAGTAGTAGTAGTAGTAGTTAGATGCTTGAGTTCACGATTCAAAAGAACAGGGAGCTGCTATTTCAGTGGGGTTGCAAACTCGAAAGATGTGCGGCTAGGTAGAGGGCCATGTCCTCTTGCGATGCCGTATCGTGTCCAGGGCCAAAAGTGAGCACAGTGTGTCTGCGCACTCAACACTGCCTCAATGCTCTGGCTAGTCCACATACACACACACACACACACACACACACACACCTGTAGACACCATCACCACCACCACCAATGACCGAAACTCCACAGCAATCATATTGAACCATCTTTGTACCAAAATGTGCCCTCTCCCGCGCTATGCTCTCGGCTCTTTTTTTTTTTTGCTTTTCTGCTTTTCTGAGGCTCTCAATATCAGCCACTGCTCCAGCACGACAGCACACACAAGGAGGAGGATCCCGGTAGTACATTCGCACAACTTCAGTCCCAGGGCAACAATCTCATCGCTGCCCCCACCCTTGGGACGGAGAACGTCCACGAAGCAGCAGTATCGGCAGAGCCCTGTGCTGTAGAGCCCGTGTTGCCATCATCACCGAGGGTGCAGAGCCGCATGGTGATCATCCGTCGGCCTACATCGATCCATCTGCTCCACCGCACTAGGGAGGTACTTGCTTGGGTACATGACGGTGGGCGCCGCGTCCGATACGCACCACAGGCTCTGGTTTCCACGATGATGTACGCCTGCAGCACATTCATTGGGTGGGTACTCTAGCTCTCCCAGGAACCAAAAAGCTGATCAAGACCTCGAGCATGTCTCGACTGGCATTATGCCAGGAGGTAGGGACTCACAGCTGCAGTTGGTATGTACAGTTACATACTCCGTGAATCGGGAAGCCAATGGATGCGCAGCAGTAGCTCAAGACCGAATTCGATGATGATTCAAGGGAGCTACGCAGCTGCGTACCATCGGATGGTGCTGGAGGGTGAAGGCACACGAAACGTCGAAACCCTGCCAGCTGCAGCACCAGAACCCCGAAAGCCTCGATTTTCTGGGCTCATATTCGTCCAGGGCTCATTAAACAGCCAACCGAACCTCGACTGAACTCAATCCACACAGTGATTGATTGAGGTACTGTTGAAAAAAATTACTACAGACCAAGTAGTTACGTCAACTTCAATCTCCGCCGGGAGAATTGCCGGCGCCGATTCCACGACACGACACATCAACAGCCGCGAATCCGACGACTGTTCGCACAGGATCCGTGGGAGCTCAGAGAGACAACTTCGTCGAGGGTCGGACCGGAGCACTGGAAACGGTGTCAGTTCGGTCAGTCCTGCCGAAAACATTCAACATTCCAGACTGCGCACGATTTGCCAATGCAGGGTGCAGCTGCTGCCTAGAGGACGGTACATAAGTGAGTACAATGTACGGTGCTCATGCGAGTCAAGGCGGGTGTTGACTCTTGAGACGATAGAATCCCTTGAATTCGAAACATGCGGCTAACTCTGGGGCAGAGAGCACTGTCGGATTCGGGGTCAACATGCGCAAACGTCCCATCAATCATCTCGCTGTCACCCTATTGAATGCGTAGATCTTCACGATGTAGTACATACATATAGATTGTGGCAACTGATTGGTTGAAGCGTGGTGTGCATATCGAGCCAAGACGACAGCACGCAAACACCCAATGTTCGACGATGGCGGGGCAGTGCAACCTTCCGTGGTTACAAGTGCAAATACAAGTTTTCCGCACGAGAGAGGAGCGCGAGAGCAGGAAAGAGAGAGTGTGAGAGGGAGAGGGAGTCCCAGCCACAGAGAGGCTGCATGTGTGTGTATGTGTGTATGTGTGTATGTGTGTATGTGTGTATGTGTGTGTGTGTGAAGATGTAGAGTAACTAGAACAGATCAGAGTGGAGTAGGGACTTGCTTACAGTGGCTTCTTTGGGATGTGCTTTTGAATGCATCGACAGCTCATTCGCCTGATCGGCTGACCGAGAGGTGTTGTAGAATGTTCCTTGAACCTTCCTTTGGGTCTTTCCGACGAAGGTAGCCTGAATTCGAACGTGTCCGGCGGGATCTCTGAAGAATTCGTGTCTACATCCTCCCCCCTGCGTGGTTACGTCTGGAGACTGGACGTCCGGTGGGATGAGAGTTGACGTTGACGCCGGGCTCGTCGACCTCACCTTGCACAACCTACCACCCTGACACTGTCGTCGCCGCATCACACCTCCGCCTGCAAAATAATACTTCCATCCAAACCAAGGGAGAAAAACAAGAAATCCTCACACGAAACGCATCACCTCCCATCCCCTCCCATCCCACCAGCCAGCTCTCCTCCTCCTTTGTCAACAGTAGAACCCAAATAAATTAAAGTACCAAAAAAACAAGAGAGAGAGAGAAAACTCTGCAGGCGAGCAGCCAACGAAACAGCCAGAAGTATCCTCTTCTCATCGCCTCGCTTCTCCGTAGAGCTGTAGAGCATTAGAGTAGAATGAAGAGTCCCTAGCTGTCGCAATTGGGGTAATCCGTTCCGCACAAGCACACACAATTCGCACAGTTCGGCAGTTTCTCGCGCTGTGCTGCGCTGCGTCCCCCCTCCACCCCTTCACCCCCCTCCACCACCACTACCACTACCACTACCACTACCCCTCCCCCCCCCATGGGGAAACATTGTTGTGTTGTAAATCCGCCCGCATCGGCAGGCCGAAAGTGAGCCCGGATGAACAGCCACTTGGTCGTCGTCCTCTCTGTACTGTTCTGTTCCTGTCTGTTCCGGTGTTCCGGGAGAGAGAACGTTTGCTCTGTAGGTTAAGTAGAGTATGGTACCTGGTTACCAGCCACACACACTCACTCACAACACAAGGTAGGCCACTGGGCGACTGAGCCAGCCAGCGGCCAGCCCCAGACTCCGGACTCCAGAATCCCCCACCTTTCGCAAGCAAGCAAAAAAATTATTCTTCAGCACAACTTGATGACGCTCACTCAATCACCGCCCACCGCCCACTGCCCACTATACAACCTGCCAGCCGACCAGCCGGCCAGCGAAGCCAGCTGGCATAATCACCAGCACCACCACCGGCCGGCCGGCCGGCTCCCAAAACGACCATACTACCCCCCCCCCCCCCCTCCCCACCCCCGATTTCCACCACACCCACGGGCCTTATTAACGAATATCAACGATTATCAATGACAAAGTCAACAGCAAACGCCGTATTCTCCACCGGTAATCCACGTTTATCCTCGGGTTCCTCAGGTGTCTGTCACGGCCACGGCCACGGCGACGGTCAGCGACGCAATGCACATGTAGTGGAGCGGGAGGCTGTTTCTGGTTGCTGGTTGCTGGTTGCTGGCAGGTACGCACTCTACATACTCTATGTAACAGCAGACCGATATACATCACAGACGACAGACGGCAGGCACACGGACAGATGGACACACAGACGACGGACAGATGGACACACAGACGACGGACAGATGGACACACAGACGACGGACAGATAGACCGACAGTGCAGTCAGCGCACGCACGCATGCACGCAGTCAGCGCAGAATCGATAACTACCACACCGCCGCACATCACAGCATCGCAAGCTCAGTCCGCCTAACTGCGCGTTGTCAATCTCTGCACGCGCGAGCAGCGCATGCAGATGGGCAGGTATGTAGGTAGGCAGACTCGCGGGCACCCAGGCGAGCGGGAAATCGGGCGGGCACGCTGGTGGAAACGTTGGCGGGCGGCGGCGCTGGCGGCGGCTGCGGGATCTTGTCACTCGGCGAGACGAGACGAGACGAGATGGGGCGAGACCGGGACGAGACCGGGACGCGCCCAGTCCCGCCACACCACGCCGAGCCCCGCCGAGCCCCACTAGTTCATCTCGTTGTACGGGAGCGCGGAAAGAGAAAAAAAAAGCAGAAGAAAAAGAAAAGAAAGAAAGAAAAAGAACGTAAGAAAGAAAGAGGAAAAAAACACACCCTTTCTCGAGCCTCTCCCCCGAATCGTACCGTAGAGCCCTTTCGCCAGCGTGTCGAAAATAATACCCACGAGTCCACGACGGCCCGCCTCCTAGTGGTCCCTCCGTGGCCCCCGGTGGCCGCCCGCCCTCCCTCCCTCCCAGCACCACGGTCCCGTCATCGATCGCCTACATACATACCAACTGGCATACTTGCATACATGAATTGGGTGTCTGTAAGCACCTATGTAACTGTGTAGAAAAATGTAATACGTATCGTATATGTATCCTGTCGAGCCTTGTATGTAAGTCGTAACAAGCCATAGGCAGCCTGACGATACTCGCTGGCCGAGTAACCACATCCCAAGTACCATAAGTACAATGCAAGTACCATACATACGGTGTGTAGATACATACATACGTTGTGAAGATACATACGTCCGGAGCCCCGTCTCACCCTCCCCCCTCACCCGCCAGAGCCTACTGACCGCCGCACAATGGCCACGACAACCCGCACACAGACAGACAGACACAGCACACAGACATAGCACGCAGACACCGCACCGCTCGAGAAACATCAAATCTGCGAGTGCTCAGTGCGAGGCGTGAGCTCCATTCCGTGATGGCCACATGTAAAAATTCGAAAATAAATTAAACCGCTGTTGATGAATAGCGCGCTACAATGTGCACAGTGCTCGAGCAAGTACTCTACTTGAACATACTGTGCAAGGCTGCGATATTCTCCGCGTCATACCAAGCCATAGTACAAGGCTGAGACGCCAGCGCGCGGTAAGGCTGCGCCTAGCGCCACATTGAAATATTTTTTCAGGTAGATACATCAACCATCACCCGTCGCGCACCAGATCTCGAGAAAAAATTTCGAGTCAAGGAAATCAATCAAGAGAGGCGCATCATAACACATCATTCGTTCATCCACCGCTCATCGATGACATCCACTCAAATCCCAGTAACCCAACTATCCTCACTACCCCCTCCAGTTCCCCCATCCATTCCATGCTAAATCGCCCGCAGATACAATTCCAAAAACAAAACAAAAAGACAAAAATCCACCTTCCCAAACAAAGTGAAGCCCTCAAAAACAGGTAGGTAACTGCAAAAGGAGATCGGCAAACATATATGCGTGTAAGTATCAGCGCCCCATATACAGTGATTGACGGACCAGCCCAAGACATATCTTCGCAACAGACATCAAACATATTAAGACAAATAGACATTCGTCGTACACAAGTGCAGAACAGAAAGAAAAAAAGTATACCACCCCCATTCAACGGTCATCGATTCATAAAGAAAGAAATAATCCCCAAATAACCTCCCAACACCTTCAACTCCCAAAAACTCATGCTCGCAAGGAAACTGCATCTTGTCGCACTGGCGTTGTCTCTGCTACAACCGTTATAGGGCTCGGTCGAGCACAGCGTCAAGTATTTGCTGCTTGCATCCCGAACATCGCTGATGCTCGCATCCCAGACAGCTCGGGTGCAAGTCCACCAAGAAAGGGTGCGGCACGTTCCGTGATCGTACGCATTGGCACTGCTAACATGTCAGCGTCTTACTCCGGAGGGGAAGCCAACTCGCGTGAGGGAAATGACTTACGCAATACCACGCCAACTTTTTGCTGTGTGCGCCCGTGTTGTCGATATGCGAACTCGACTGGGTCGCATGCATCGTCGGCTCTTCTTGATCCGGGTGGTTGCCCACCCACGAGTGGATGATCGAGGCATGGGCGAGCTGGTGCAAGGGAGAATCCGGTGGTTCGGGCGAGTCGTCATCCTCCGAGTCTGAAACACTCGGGCAATCGATGGCATCTTCGTCCTGGTATACGTAGTTCCGGATGCTCATCCCGTTCTCAAAGTGGCTTCCGAGGTGGTCAAACCTCTCGTCCCATCCAGTGAGTCCCAGGTTCTTAAGACGGATTGTCCTCCCTTGTTTCCCGGCATCGTTGACGCAGAAGCCGCACCAGAAGATGTGGTGGTCGCTGCCGCCAATATACGACTTCTCCGACCAAGCTTTGATCTCCACCTCGGTCTTGATGTTGTGCAGACTGGATTTCAGGTGGTTGATGAAGTTCTCCTTCCGGAAATGCATGGCCGAGCACACGTCCTCAGGTCCGTAAGGAGGCACGGGATGGCTGCACTTCCAACTCTCCAGCCTATGATGCTGGCTGTTTTCGTGCCGCTTCCAATCGTTCTTGGATCCAAACTGCTTGAGGCAGAATCGAGCCGTGCACCCATACGGTCTGGTGTGACGCTTGCGGTGCTTTCTGGAGAAGCATTAGTTACGATTCCAACTCTCATCGCAATGTCGCCGAAGGAGCCTACCTCAACTCGCAGTTCCTAGCAAACGTGCTCTTGCAACCTGGATGTCCACAGCGGAACGCCTTCTCAGGTGGTCCACTTAGGACGGCGCGAACAGCAGCGACCGGGGGGTTGGCAGGCGGCCGATTGACCGGTTGTGGTTGTGGAAGATGCTGATATGGGGCGCATGAAGGATGAGGCGTAGATGGTCCCGGTGTTGCCCGGAAGTCCTGGGCAACGGTAGGTCCGATTCCTGGGGGGGCTTCCCTTGGTGGAGAGGCAACCGTCTCCGGAGGAGAAATCATGCTACCCGAGGTATCCGGTCCGGATCCTCTTCCATTATTATTATTCCTCCCTGGGATCCCGTTCTTTTGTCCACCATCCCCACTGGGTAGGCCGAAATAAGGAGGATCCTCCGTTTGGCTCTGTCGGACGAACCGACCGAGTGTCTCACTGTTATTGACAGGCCATTCCTCCAAAGCCTTGGGATTCAATGGTGATATCACATTCTGCTGCTGGTATTTTGATGGGATATCCACACCGCCAACATGCTGATATACATGGACATGTTGTTGTTGCTGCTCAACAATTCTCGCATCCTCGGCTGCAAGTACGTCGTACTGTGCCTGGAGTACGTCGAACTGGGATCTCATCTCCATTATCCGGACCTGGATTTCCGCCATGCATTTCCTTCGGGCAATGGTATCCTCCTCGCGCTCATATGGAATGACCGGTGTCCATTGCCGGTTATGTTCCTGTTGGGTTGGGGACATGGGCTCCTGGTTGTGCACACCCGGAGACATTGGCAATACGTTCATTAAAGGTCCTGGGGCAGGCGGGCTAGTGATTTCCATGTCTGACCGGTCCATATCCATAGCGCTATCCGAGCTTTCCTCTTCCGATGGTCCATAATACGCTGGTCTTGGACGGTGGAGATTGCCGTTGTCGACTCTCGTTATCACCCACTGTAATTTTTTCGATTTCCGGGAGAACGAAACCGACTTGCGACTACGGACAGAGGTATTGGTCTCCGATGCTGACCCTCGGTCCGTCCCCACATCCTCAGGATTGACTTCAACTCGGCATTCCGATTCGGCCCTTTATACACAAACCGGAAGGTCTCAAATCAGTCGCCCGTCCCGGAAAACGAGGTAAAAGTAAAACATGAAGACTTACTGCTTAAGGAAATTATTCATGCTCGTAGGTTCATTGGTGCCATGAAGCTTCTTCAAGTGATTTCGGAAGTTATCGAGTCTGAAATATATCTTGTTCCGATCGCGACAATGATCGTAGATGCAGTTAAATCCTGTCGCTGGTCCCTTGGTGCCCTTATGAACCGAGTTCTCATGGCGCTTGAGGTCATTAGGAGACGTAAAGCCGGAATTCGCTCGCTCACATCCCTTTTCCTTGCATTTGAACGGTTTGGTGTGCTTTGCTTGATGTTTTCTTTAGCGAGCAGCGAAGACATTCGGATGAATTAGCCTGACATCCCAAAGAAAAGAGAGGAAACTCCACGAAAAACAGGGCAATAGATGTGTCCATCCTTGAGAGGAAGGGTGGGGGGACTTGTGCATACCGTAGGAGGGAGTCGCAAGTAAAACTTTCTTTACAGGTATCGCAGATAATCTTCGGGCCTCCAGTGACATAGGCTCTTTTTTCCCCACTCACGGGAGCGGCTTTCTCGGGTTCGGGTGTATTGTTATTCAATACCCCCTGAATCCCCGCCGTATTAACACCGGGAGGTCCCATTGGAGATGTAGGAGGTGCATAACGTCCATTGGATTCAAAATTCGCGGTAGCATTTCTACTGGAAGAACACCAAACGTCATGGTCGCCTCCTGTGCGCTGAAGCTTCTGCGGCGGACCTTCGTCATTCAAAAGATTGCTGAGGGACATGTGGTTTGGGCGGTTCGGAGTACGTTGGCGAAGGGATGCTGATGGCATTCCAGTCTGACGAGGAGACCCCGAAGCTACTCCGGTGGAAGCAGCCATGATGCTGATGATGCTGATGATGAGGAGGATGAGGTTTTGAGCTTCGCACCAAGAGAATCAGAGGCAGTCCTCTTTAATCTCGTGGAAGTCCGCAGCGATGGATCCCGATAGCCTTGCTTTGCGAACCAAGCCACCGACACAACCCGCCGGCTGCTGTGAACAATTTCGGAGACCGGCTGACGAAAATGCAAGAAAGCGACAGCCGTGAATTCTGCGGCGGAAGTGAAGATGTTGTTTGGACCGTGCCTGGATTCCGGGAGGCCACTGGACTGAGCGCGGGTAACCGGACGGTGGTTGGTGTGTAGTCGTTCGCAAGCAAGAAGGTGGCAGAAAACCGCTCGCTCTTGTCTACGCACGGGCAACTTTTTTCCCCGCCCCTCTCTCCACAAGCCGTCGCGACCTATTTGAGTGGGAGCTGACCAGTATGCACACCAGACACAAGGCTTTCCCGAGTTGGGCCGACGCAGAAAAAGGGTGTCCTGGAATCGGGGCTCCCGTTGGCTGGCGTTGGAATAGCGATGTGACACGACGGATGGGGTTGTCACGTCACCCGGTCAGCCTCGACGAATTCGTAGCGGATTCTCTTGCTGCCTCAACAGGGCGGTTCCGGTTCGTCTCGTTCGCGCCGCGCTGAAACGGTTTTCCGGACAGCGATGACAACCTGCGCGGGATGGGGGGGAGGGGGGAGCGACGGAGGAGGGTGGGGTGGCGATGGGTTCGGGTGGGTTCCAAGAGGGAGCAGCGAATGCGCGGAGGCCAATCAAACAAACAGGAGCGGAGGTGTTCAGGATGAGCGCACGGAGCGCATTCGTGATGCGAGGGGGGGAGGGGAGGGGGAGGGGGGAACAATCGGAGCTGGGAATACCAGGCTCTTGGGTAAGTTGCACTGCAGAGCGGAGCGGTGTGTAGTGGTGGCCTTCTTTCGTCCGGGACGGGCAGTGAGAGCGGAGGGATGCGTTGGACATGAACACACGGAAGGCGCGAGAGGAAGGAATGAATGGAAAGCACAAGCGCGGAGCAACACGAAAGCTGAGTGGGTTTAGTCGACACGGGGCGGGTGATAGGAGAATGGGGGGAAGAGGGGTTGAGGACGGGGGGGTGGGAGGGTGGGATGGGAGGGGGAATGGGGGGGGGGGGGGTTGTGTGAATAGCTAGAGATAGGCGATCGAGGGCGGTTGCTGAGATCGATAATTTGGGGCGAGCGCTTTTGGTGGGGGGGCAGAAATGAGGCAGCAAACAGGGGGCCGATTCCGAGAAGGCAGAAGTTAGGTCGCACTTGCGGTGCGGGCTGCATCGTTCTGTGCACTTTCCGGCAAATCTTGTCTGGCGTCCATCTCCATGCGACGGACGGCGGCCAGCGTGCTGGCTACACAACTGGCGGACCACCACCACCACCTCCACCACCTCCACCACCTCCACCACCTCCACCACCTCCACCACCTCCACCACCTCCACCACCTCCACCTCCAGCAGCACCACCTAACCAACACCACTGCTCTACCACCACCAGCGCGCTCGAGGCCACTATGGCCACCAATAATTAACTTTGGTGCACTCTACGCGCAACGACAAACCACCGCCGCTCACTGGCTACCGTTGCCCCGACAGCTCCCCTCGCGCAGATATAGCGAGAAGCGCATGGGGGGGGGGGGGACTTTATCCATGGGCCTAGAGAACGGCAGGTACTACTAGCACCCTTACTCTAGGCGTCCACTATCTACGACCCCATGGCCGGCCAGGGCCTGGCCGAGAAGATCTTTGTACTCTGATCTGATTTTTTATTTCGATTTATTTATTTATTTTCGTCAGTTTTCTCGACCTGCCTATTCTTCCGTGGCCGCCGTCCAGCAGAACAGTTGAACAGGTCGGGCAGGGTGGGGGGGGCAGGTCACACAGCCGGCCAACTTCCCTTGCAACATCTTGCAGCCCTCAAGATTATGCGCCGGATGGGGCTTAGCCGAGCCCGTGGTTCTTTCCCAACAGCGCCAGAGCTAAGCATGGTGGTGGTGGTGGTGGTGGAAGTGGAGGTGGTGGTCGTGATGGTGGTGGTGGTGCTGCTGCTACTGGGGCACAGCACAAGAGGCGCTCCGCAACGACAAAAAAACAACTTCGGACGAGCGACGCCTGCCAGGGATCACGGTCAAAGCACCACGCAAAAACACCTATCAGAGGAGGTTAGTGGCTGGTTGGCTGACTGCCAAAAGCAAAAGCGGCTCGCACATGTCTTTGTCTCGCTCGTCGCTCGTCGCTCGCTGTCGCCACGTACAGAACAACCCTATCCGACATACCGTACCGTACCAGCTGATTCACCCGCCTGCCCTCCGCTCCCGTTCCCGCTCCCGAAACGCCATGGCGAGACGTTAGGCCGTGTTCGTTCCGTTCCCCTTCTCTCTCCAACACGCATCGAAGTGTACATACATGGAAATCGCGGGAGCGAAAGAAAGAAGAAGAAAAAAAAACAGGAGAGAGAGAGAGAGAGAGAGAGAGAGAGAGAGAGAGAGAGAGATACATAGAGCTCCGGGAGGAGGCAGTGAACGATCTGCCGCTCGACTGCGGTCTCCTCGCACGAAAAGGTTGCCTACTGCTGCTGCTGCTGCTCCGCTAAAGCGGAGTAGGTAACGATTGGAGATGTGCCTGGCAACAAGCAGCTAGAGCAGAGCAGAACATACCGTAGCTGCCTGCGGGCGTGCGTGCGTGGATGGATGCCTTCGCGTTGTTCGCCAGGCAGTGCATTGGCAAACAGTAGGGTTTCATCTCATGGATGTACTATGATACGACTGTACATGACTTGGGCTAATCTCGACGCATGATCGCGGGCAATCACCACTGCAAATGACCATCACCACCACTCTGGATCTGTTTATCTGCATCAGCCTGCGGAATGCGACGTACCTACTTTCCTTGCGTAGAGTGGGTGCACTTGTTTATCCTCTCCTTTTTCTTCTTTTCTTTTTGCTTTTGTCCATGGTTTCCCAGCTGATAGCATTTGCCATGCCGGCATCTAATAGGTTCTCACTCGAACTTGAGATTCTCTCAGGGGTCTATGGTCGGAAACCTCAATACAACCGCAGTGGCCAGTGTGGACGGGCGGGCTTGACCTCTCTCAGTCGCAAGCTAGAGGCTTGGATTAATCAAGCCCGTGGCGATCGTCGTTGGATGTCGGATGCTCGCGCGGGTGCTTACGGTTTGGAGGGGGCGGGGGAAGGATGTGTACCTAGGTATGTCTTATTTTTTTGCGGTATCCGCGCAAACGTTCCGAGCTGATGGAGTACCTTCAGCCGGCGGAGATAGGATGTATGTATCGATCCCGCGGCCACTCGTATCCATCCATCCATCTCGTCACATAAAATGCTCGGTCGGTTCGCCAGGCAGCTGGCAAACACCGATGCCCTTCGCCAGCAATCGCAGCATGCCGCAAGATGTGATATGCGTTGGGGCCCGCCCCACTAGTTGACAGAGTACCGTACAGCTGCAGCCGGTGTTCGGGGAGGGGGGCAGGTACTTAGTGTACGAAGGTACGTAGGTACTCTATGTATGCGAAACCCATCGTGGGCCCACCGTCTTGACTTCCCGCCTTTATTGCTGTCTGTCCTGTCCTGTCTGCCCGTCCGACCATCCGACCGGCCATCCGACCGGCCATCCGACCGTCTGTCCGCGCCCGTGGGCGAACGCACCGTATGTACGTAATCGTCCAGCGAGCAATGAGGATCCCGGGTGCCATGCCACAGAGAGCAGACTCACAGAGAGCACTGCAGGAGGGAGGAAGGTAGGGAGCGAAGGAGCGAAAAGGAAGGAAGCCGGCGTCTGTGGAATGTCATTCCCGCAGCTTCCTCTCTCCCCTCCCTAAAGGTTGCGAATCGTCCTACGGCACTTAGCTGTGATCTGCTGTGTTTTCCATGTGTGATGTGTGTGTGTGCGATGTATGTACAAACGAACATGGGGCGGCGGCTTTGGAATTCGGAACCGCGCGAGGGAATGCATCCAGCATCCAGCATCCAGCAGCAGCAGCAGCAGCAGCAAGCAAGCATGGATAGATCCCACATCGTCCCATGACCGATGTTACATACATGCCCACATACATACCTTCCTACGTACATACGTACATACGTACATACTTCATATCATACTGTACATACTTCATACCTACATACATACTCCATACATACACACATACATGCCCACGGGATACATCTACGGTACTGCAAGCCTCTATCACAAAATCTCTCCGGAAAATGATGCCCCTCCCCACCCCCAATGAACGGAACCGAACGCCCACAGGAGGAAATTACGGCGGGCTACCAATGTACCTACATACCGGCACTTCATGAGTACACACATATCTGCCTACATACACACACATACATACACACCTGCCTACCCACCTACCCACTGACATACCCACCTACATACATTTACATGATGTTATTATTATCCCCATGAAAATATCCGGTCATATCAAGTATCAAGTTATCAAGTTATCAACCCGGGGTTCCCTGCGGCCCTGCCTGCGCGGTGCACAGTGCAGTGCAGGTAGGAATTCGAGGCCGCGTTGCAGGAGTTGCAGGAATTCTGAATAGAGGTGCTCCTGCTTGCTTACTTGCAAGTTGTGCGGGAAGCACCGTCTAGAAGAAGTCAAGTCAAGTCAAGTCAAGTCAAGTTCCCTTCTTCTTCTTCTTTCGCTTTTCTGGCCTTTCTTTTCTTTTCTTTTCTAGTCTTTTTTACTTTTGTCTAGCATATACTACTATTAGTATAGTACGCTAGATTACAGTGGTTAGTACAGTGGTTAGTACAGTACGTACTACTATAAACGTACTAAACGTGCTCAATCTGCCTAAGTTTGGGCGTGCAGCTCGCTCGCTCGCTCAGTCGCAGGCAGGCAGGCAAGCGGACAAGCAGGCAGGCAAGCGGACAAGCAGGCAGGCAAGCGGACAAGCAGGCAGGCAGGCAAGAAAGCAGGTAGGCAGGCAAGCAAGCGGGCAGGCAGGCAAAGCAGGCAGAAGCAATATTGATATTGACAACGCGGGTCTGAATCCCTACATATGAGACCTCCCCCTTGCTGCCGGCAAGTAACGAGTTCGGGTTCAGGTTCGGGTTCGGGCCAACACCACGAAGACGAGTGGATTGACGCCTGGACTGGACGCCTGGACTGGATTGACGGGCGGCTGGGGCGCGCGCGTTGGAATCGACAATCTGCTCTAGTGCGCTCACTAGCGTCTGATCTAGCCGCTGATTATGGCGTAGGTAAACGAGCGAGCAAGCTCCCGATATAATTATCATTCACATGTAGCATCCACATGTATCTAGAGTAGATATACCTGGCACCAGTACATATCCGAGCATCTGAGCGCGCGAAGGGGCGAAGGGGAAATCCAGATGTAGGTAAAATAGCGGAATAAGCCGGCCGATATCTAGGCGGGAAGCGGGGAAGGGGGGGGGGGGGGGGGGGGTGGTCCAGGTACATACTTGACCGCTTTCGAGGTAGGTACTCTAGGGAGCGTGGGGGGTTGAGCAGTAACCACGAGCGAGTGGATTTGTCTGAAGCGCAAGAGGATCAGATCGGGGGGTGATGGGGGGATCGGGGAATGGTGGAGTGGAGATGGACGCCCGCCAAATGGGCTTTTCCTCGCTCGCGTATGTACCGGTATGTAGAGATCGTTTGAAGGCCTGGTGCGGATAACCAAGGGGTGGTATGTACCTACCTCTATCATGTATACAGTTAAGGCCCAGTGCGGGGTTGACGGTGACGGTGACAAGTACCGTCCCTACATAGAGTATCTACCAAGTATCTACCAAGTATCTACCAAGTATGCATCTAGAGTAGAGTAAAGTATGCAGTCAGACCGCTATTCTATGTAGACCGTGGTGTTGCAAAATCAGGCGTTTTGAGTGAGCGATTTCCGACTTCCGCCAAAGGGAGCGGAAGGGAAGGAAGGGAAGGAATTTAGAATCTCTGAACGGCACGGAACGGGCAGGGCAGAAAGGCGTGAATGCGAACCACACCGACGAACGTCGAACGCCCGCTGCCTCCCTGCGGCCTGCCTGCTTGCTTGCCTGCTTGCGAACCAAGGCAGGCAGGCAGGCAGGCAGGCAGGCAGGCAGGCAGGCAGGCAGGCAGGCAGGCAGGAAAGCAAGCACGGCTGATTGACACGTTCTGGGGCTTAATCGGTCTGACCGGTCGGCCGGTCCACATTGAAAGAAAGCCTCCAACCAACCAACCAACCAGCTAACCAGCTAACCAACCAGCCAACCGCAGGTGCATCGGTGTCGTTTTTATTTATTTTTATTTATTTTTATTTATTTTTATTTATTTCCATTTTTCTTGGGGTGATCTCATTTTTTCCCTTATTCTTCGTATTTTCGGGCTGTTCGCTCGCTGCTCAGTGCTCACTCCTGTTACCTGTATGTAGATCGACAGCAGACAGCCGTCGGGACGGGCAAGGGCGGATGTCCATCGATCAGGGCTAACTGGAAAGCAATACGGGGACATAGATCGACTTCAATAGTTCTATGTACTCTAGAGTTCTACCCAAAGCTGTGAACCCACCCGCCGCGACTCGCGAGAGGGACCTCCCCCCATTGCGATGACCATGCGCTCTCCCTCCCATCTGGCTTCACCGCGCAGGGACAGGACAGGACAGGCTCGCTCGTTCGCAGACCGGGAAAATCCGATGTCTTCCACGTCATGGATGGGATTCTCACAGATTCCCATGGCCACCCTGCCCATTGCCCAAGCCCGACGAAGGCAGGAAGGGGGGAGGGGGGCTGTGCTATTTTTGCAAATGCATGGGCCGCAATAGGGACGTTCTGCAGACTCCACGCACCACAACTACAACTATCCGGGGGTATCAGATGGGGTTAGCTGGCTGGTGAAAAGTGGGAGGTTTTGCCAACCGCAAACTGCGAACTGGAACTACAACTACAACTACAACTACAAAACGCGAAATCAAACTATGGAGTGATGGCGCGGCCGTGCCCATCGAGCAATACTGCAAGAGACAAGCGTTGGAGACAGTGACATGGTTTGTACCCTGTCTTTGACGCTTTCATCCAATCAGCGCGTTTATTATGATCCAGATTAAATACGATAGCTAGCCTGGTGACCTTCCTCCACTAAGTAGGACCCCTATCCGTTGCTGTGGTGATAGTTGTAGTTGTGGTACGCGGAGGGGTTGCAGAACGTCCCTAATCGCAACTGTTGTGCCCACCACTGCTCGGAGCTAAGATGTATACAGAGTACATAGCGGCGTCCCACTAGAGTCACTGGAGTAACGGAGTTGATGATTATTTGCAACCCGCCCGCACGCGCATGGACGAGCGGAGAAGGCGGCTCGCAGGTGAAACTGGTGAGCGAGAGGGAGTGAGAGAGCGAGAGAGAGAGACAACAAAAGAGCGAGGGAGCGAGAGAGCGAGAGAGAGCGAGAAAGAAGAAACGAAAGAAAGAGAGGGTGTGAGAGATGGAGAGAGAGAGACACGGTGAGATGAAACTACACTTTTAGAGTTCCCGCTGCGCCATTGGCCCGCTCTTTCGCATTGCGGATTCGTTGACGTCAATCCACGTCCCTGCCAATGGGGTTGATGCCGCCCTTCCGCCGCCGCCGGCCTTTCTTTTTTGCGTAACCCAAGCTTCAAGCCCCCCAGACGACACCACCGTTACACTGCACCCACCCCACCGCCAACTGTGTTTTCCCTCTCCCCCG